AAAATGTATATAATATAATTATGTTTATATGTCAATACATGTATTGACTATAAATTGACTATAAAACACAAAACAGAAGTAAAAGTATCTGTAAGAAACTATTACTCTGTCTTTTTTGTATTAACAGGGAAAAAATATGACTTAATTCTGAAAAAGTATAAAAAGACTTGTATTTATTTTAAAATTTCTAGTGAGTTGGATCTCATGATACACAATTTATGCAGGTATACAAAATATGCACTGCACGAATGGACTAAGCGCATTAATAACAACTAAAATAATAATGTGAAATGGCATCACTGTGTGATGCATAGTTACTAAAGCTACTGATTGTTACTTTCTGGAGTAAACATACGTATTTTTTAAATGGTTTTGCATGTCTTTTCTCAATTGAATATTGTATAATAAAATTTTATTTTGCACATCCAGAACATTTGACTAAGATATTATTCATTATAGTAACAACATAAATAAAACGTTTTAAACATATTTTAATATTATTCTCTTAATTTTAACTGGTTGCATAAGTGTCCAGGCCAGGGTTGGGCAACTATTTTAAGTGTAGTTACCAAAATTCCCAAATTTGTGATGCTAAATTTTATCACGTATCAAACAAAAGTTTTGGGAGCATATTATTATTTGGTCTAGAGACTAAACGATGCTACAGAAAAGCTAGCGGTTTTCCACTAAATTGGCAACTTTGCTTCTAATTCAGTATATTGCAGAGATAGATGTCTTGAAAATAGGATCTTTGTTTTATTTTCTTATTACTCATTATTACTAAACCAGTTGATAGTGTTGTTTCTTTATTATAGTTTTATTTAGCATCGCTATTCTCAATAAAACTGTAATCTATTAAAATAAAATATAAAATTCAGCGAAAATATTGGATATTTACTTTTTAAGGTATGCGTGCCGGAAAAAGTCTGGCGTGCCATGCTTGGCACACCGTCTAGGCAATTACGTGAGATTATTTGGGGTGGAGTATAAATTTACGCGGAATTTCGTTTTAAGTGATACCTGATGATACGCAACCTCGCATAAAACAAGACCATACTGTATTTATATAAATATTGATATTTGTACAGATTTATCATATACATATTATTCATCACAACTAGATTTAATGATAAACAAAATTGTTCAGAATTAATTTTTTTACTCGATAATTGTGGGAGGTGAATAAATAAATTAAGTAAATTTGACATTATCGTTTTTTTAGTTATTTATTCAATTTTAATTTTATTGCTGAAAGTTTGAAATTATCCTATGTAAATATACTACCATATTCGAAAAAATCCTCTGCTAAATTAATAATAGAAATGTATAATTTTTGATATTGTTATAATTTCCTTTTTTACGATTATCTTCTGAATTTTAGTAAAGATATTTATAAATCATACTTTTAATGAAAAACAAATAAAATAAATCTGTTATTATTTAATTGTATGTCTGTATGACGGTAATTCTCAATTTTTTTAGGATTGAAAGCTGTATATTTTGTAAAAAAGTTTTTATGTGTGAAATATCAAAAGCATTATGTTGTCAACATTTCTGAATTGTAAATTTATTTTATAAAATTTTGTTTTTAATATGGGCATCGATTTATATGGAATAGCAAATTGTCCCTATCCTAATGTATTTTTATTTTAAATCATATTACAAAAATTAAAAGTAGAAACAAGTACTATACACGATAAATACACCGCATTCTATATATTATTTAGTATGATAGGCACGACTCTATTTGCTAACAGGAAAAGTATGATGTACAGGGGCAAAATACAACTGTACTAATTTGATGGAGAGCATATATTATCAATTAAATAAATTAAAAATATGATTAAAAATTGCAGTCCGGCATTGTGATGATGTCGTAATAAATAATTGCTTGTTGTTTTATTAAAATACTATAATGGGATTTAAAAGTAATTCAAATATATAGCCTATATTATTTTTAAATTGTATTAAAATATTTTAATAATTCTGTGTATTATAGGGGAGACCGGGGATACTTCGGCATGCGGGGCAAATTTGTCAAGCGCTTTTTTTTAAAAACAAATTAAAAGGAGACTTTGGTTATAGGTTAGGCAGTTGAGTTTTATTGGTGTTTTATTGGTTCAGTGTAGTGTTTTTATTGTTCTCCAACAAGCGTAGTTGAATTATCAAGCAAATTTTCATTTTCGTTCAATTCCATATAATATTTTTTTTCCATTTATATTGAATTGGCAGGTTTTGTTATAATTCCATGATAACGAAAGTTACTTTTCCTGTTAGAAGGATGTAACTTCAACTTATTCACGTGNTATTCTATGTTATTCATGTTCTTAAAATCAAAATAAAAGTATTTTTAAAATATAGATATACAGAATTTTCTTGGTATTCAACGTTTTACAAAAGATAAACGGCTTAATACCTGCTTCGATATTTTACAAATACCAGTTAAATGGAAATACTGTATTTTGTCTCTACATTCTATTTATACATTACAATTCTACATTTATTTATTGTTATAACTATGAATGGATGAATGCAAAATGTAGTTATTTTTGTTTAAATTCTATTCTTTTACCGAAGAATAATATTACATTTGGATTGTATTCTAAATATATAAAATTGCTCCTTTTGAAGAACATTTATTAAGTTAGTGCAAGTCATTGTAATATTTTCTTTTATTCGAAACTAATCTACTTTCTAAGAATTAGTATATTCTGCCTATCCTATACTTTGAAAGGATACACATAAACATAATGAGAATATTGACAGAGAAAACACGTTTAGAAACAAGTTCTCTTTATTTGAAAATTCTTTTATTAATTCATCGAACCGGATTATTATTTTTTAAATATAAATGTCAAAAAACTTCAATCCGGTTCGATGAATTTATAAAGATTTAACCTCATTTAACTTTATATTAAAATTTTAATTTAGAATTTTTGTTGTGGGTTCATTCTCCAAGGTATTATTTAGGAATCACATTTCATAAGCTTGTTTATAATGTGGGCTACACAATATATTGTTTAACGGAAGTAGTAGTTACGTTCTAAAGCATTTCTTAAACATTTAAGGTCCATTTGTTAGTAAATAATATTCAGCATAAATAAAATTCGAGACTAGTTTTTTCTTTTTTAAGTTTTAAAATTAAATAAATTTTATTTTAGATAACGTTAACTGTTTAATAATACAATAGTATATAGACAACGTTAAGAAGATTATAGAGAAGGTTGCAATTAACCTTGATTCTCAGCATTTTATTAATGATGATATTGAAAGATTCAAGTTTATTATTACATGAAAAACTTGTATTTGCATTTAGGATTCAGTTTTTTTTTTTAAACTGACAAACAAGAATGTTATTCCCATTTTTCGTTATTATTTTTCAGATTTATATCCATGTTTTAAGATGAATGAATTTAACAATAAAAAATTCAAAATTATTTTAATATTAGAAAATTTATTTTTTGGCTATTAATTTTTTATTAATTAATGTTAATAAATATATTTTGTATAAGCGTATAAACTAAAAATTCGGAATAATTTATTTCATTTTTGCTTTCTGTGCATGCATTCACGAAAACACATTGAACGTGCAATTTTTTGTTGCATATGAGTTACTTATTCGACTCCTAATATTCATTCTTTAAAAATCGTTTGATCTTCAATTTCTAAAAACAGATCTAAAAGAAGATGGAAAAAATTATTGGAAATTTTTATACCGGAAATTTGATGAAAGGTAAACTTTTCACTATAGAATATTTAAATATGTGGGCATTCCAAATAATACGATGTGTGTTATAATTAAGAAAATGGAAGAGAAGAAAACATTATTTAGAGCTAAAGGAACTGAATAAAGGGGAGTGGAAATGACTGAAACGAAGCATAAGCAGCTAACAAATGTCGCTGTTGGTAAGGTGGGCCAATTTACGGAGAAACTCTCCGTAAATTGGGTGACTTCGGTCAAAAGTTCAAAATATCCCACACATCTTTGTGCGTGGGATATTAGAGAAAAGGAATATCCTTATTAGGAAAAGTATTTTTGCACTCAAATACGTCGTAGAGCAATTTGAAAATCAAATAAGGTTACTTCAACGACAAAGGGAATTTTTGGCCCAAAAGCAACCTGAATGTGGTTATGGACAACCGGTCTTATTTTATACCGGATGGCTCTGAATATGCAAGAAATAAAAGTTTTTACTCTAAAAAAAGGAGGTTATTCTAGAATCGAAGTTCAAACATTACGCAAAGTTTCTGACAAAAGTTTTGGTGTGGGTAGCTATAAACCGTAGAAGGTAGTCTCGAACCTTTATCTCGCCGTCTAAACTTTTCATTAACACGGAAGCTCATAATACGGATTGGACAAGGAGAGACTAATGTTATTCTTAAAAAAGAATTATCCGAATAGAAATTACGTTTTTTCCCAGATTTGCAACGTTCAACTATGCTAAAGACACAATTGACGCCTTTAATCAATATGGGATACTGTACATTCCTCAAGAAAACAATGTGCCTAATATTCCCCCACTGAGACCAATCGAACAGTTCTGGTACTAGTTAAAGCAGAAAGCGTACAATGTGGCATGAGAGGCTAATTTCACCGTAGAACTTCTCAAAAGAATTTAGCACAAGGTCCATTAATTTACCACTGAAAACTTCAGGAATCTTTTGAAACGTGTGAAAACAAAAGTTCGAGAGGCTGCAAACCATGGACTAGATTCGATTTTGTTAAACTGATAGACTGCTAAAATATGTTTGTTTTTTCTCTTAATTTATTTTGAATGCATTGCTCATTTTGTAATCCCCAACTTCCAGAATAAATACATTTTCATATTTCGGATTTTTAGTTTACACACACTTAGATTAACTCGAAATGTAATAGGCTAACTGTATTATATAAAAATATGAAATAGTTTCTATGTAAAAATTCTTTGGAATTCAAAAATATAATGCATTTTTACTTAACTTATTATCATTAATTACTTTATAACTTTTATTTTAATTAGATAACTCTAGATGTAACATCAATGGCAAGAGCTGTAGCCGAAGTTTTTCATCATCTTGGTTGGAATTACATAATTGTTATTTATGACGAAGAGCATTCGAAAAGTTTTATAGCTTTTAAAGATGAGAGTAATCGAAATGGAATTTGTTTTGCTTTAGAATATAAAGTTGGAGACGTTGATTTACAAATTAAATTGCAAAAAGCTCATCTACAAGGTGCACAAGTCGTAATTTTATGGACGAGTAGTTCTTCGGCAAAAATTATATTTGACTTAGCTGAAAATTCGACAGAATTTGTTTGGATTGGTGCAGGTTCTTGGACTGAGCAGTCACAAAATAATATGTTAGTAAAATACGAGAAAATGCTATCCGATAGAAGTTTTATTTTTCGAGTTAAGGAAAGTAATATTGAACAGTTTTCGTCATATTTCGAACATTTAACACCGGAAAACAGCAAAAATCCATGGCTACGTGACTATTGGAATTTGAAGAATTGTTCAAACTTTGGTTGCAATAAACCTAAGAATACTGTTGTAAATGTGATTCGAGCAATTTCTTCTTTAACTTCAGGCTTAGCACTTTTAAGATCAGAAGCGTGTAGAACTGAACGTGGTTTATGTCCAACACTTTTACAACACCGTCAACTTCGACAACTATTAAATTTATACATTCGGAGGCAAACTACTAGAATCGACGATCCTCATGACGTTTTTGGATTCAAAGGCGATGGATCAGGAGACCTACCGATAGAAATATATAAAATACAAAGAATGAAATCAAACTGGCCATATTTTCAAAAAGTAAGTAAATTATTATTTTTTTAATTTTAATAAATTCAAACAAAAAATACTGATGAACTTTATATATTTGTGTTTAGGTAGGTGTATATCAAAATGGATTGAAGAGTCTTGCAGGAATGGTAATTGATCAAGAAAAAACTGTGATTTCAGAATGTATTTCTCAATGTTCTTTATGTCCAGGAAAACGATCCGATTATGTTGTTACAGAAAGTAATGCTGATGTATACATAGCAGCTAGTCTTACTGTCCACGAATCTTCAAAAAATCCTTTAGAATGCGGAAAGTTAACTAATGTGCAACAAGTAGAAGCATTTCTTTGGGCTTTGGATCAAGTTAATAATAATAAAGAATTATTATCTGATATCAAACTTGGCAGTATAATTATGGATACATGTGGAAGTCGTGAAAAGACATCACGTGATGTGGCAAATATATTTAGTCAATATCCTGATCGATTCAACCTTCCTGAATCAAATAAAGTGATTGGTTTTGTGATAGGACAATCATCTAATCTCATACAACCAGTTACTGATGTAACAATGTCATTAGTTATCCCTACAGTAGCTCCTAATGCAATTAGTTCAACTTATGAAGATCCTGAAACTTATCCTTATCTTATTCGCACAGGTGTAACAAATAGCATTCTTTCCCGTTGTCTCCTGGAAATTTTAAATTATTTTGAATGGAATTACGTTTCTATTGTGTATAGCGACGATCCGTGGAAGGAAGAAGATTTATATATTAATTTTAAAGAAATGGCTGGAAAAAATAATATTAAAATAGCAACAGAGAATAAACTTCATCTCAGTTCTACTACTACAAATGTGGATAATGTCATTCACCGTTTAGTTGCTAAATCGAGAGATGGTTCCAGGTAATAACTTTTTCTATTTGCAATTTTTCATCTAATAATTCTTTAATCTATAACAACCATTTATTTCCAGAATTGTAATACTCATATTGAATGAAGAACATATAGATTTGATGATGAAACGAGCTGATTATTGGCTTCAAGAAGAATTTTATAAAAAGGGAGATATAATTTGGTTAGCAATAAATCATGTAGATATTTTAAATAAATACGCTGCTGCTGATGGGGCTTTGAGCGTTACATGGTTACCACCGCTTTTAGAAGAATTTTTGAAATATTTTCAAAATCTGGATATTTCTAACAATAGCAGAAACCCATGGTTTCGAGAATATTGGGCATCAATGTACAACTGTAGAGGAGCCGCTTGTTACAGTGGATTAAAAGAAACATCTGTGAAAGATACACTTTATCAAGATCCGTTAGTTCCTGCAATCATTCAATCAGTATTTATATTTGCTCGAGGATTGAGTGCTCTGAAGTAAGTTAATATCATTAATTATATAATAATAATCATTATAAAACGGATTATAGAATTTGGAAAATGTTTCGCATTTATGTTTCATTTTAAAAATTATATCTCTATTAATGTTTATATGAAAATCAATCTCATTCAAGAAATATGACACAGTTAAAAACATTCTGATAATATGGATAATTGATAAATACAAATTATATTATAAATCAATTATTGATACATTGAATATATTCTAATAACCATACGTTTTTTTATATTTTTGCCAACTTTATTTTCAGGAAAACAATTTGTCACGGAAGACCTGATAAATCATGTTTAAATACTATTGATGCTAATATTCGTGGAATTTTGTATACTTTTTGTGAACTGGAAGCAGTTTCGAAAAATACCTCTGTATATAAAACACAAAATATCAGGATAGTCCATTTTCAAAGATACAATGGCAGCACTTTAAGTATAGTTGATGTAAGTAAAATATAATTTATATGCTATATAGTTACTGCTGTGTTTGATTATGATAAACTTAAATTTTAGGTTGGAGTATTCAAAGAAAATGGTGGATTAATGATGAACAAAGAAAAAATGTATTATGGAGATAGAGCAATAGACTTTGATGCAGTTTCTTCCGTTTATGCTAATAAATTAGATTCTACAATATCCGTAAAATCAAAACGACAACAATTTATGGAAACATCATCTGAAAATTCCTGGATCATACAATTTCTATTACCAATTCATTCTCCTGGACCAAATCTTTTTAGTTGTGGTGATATCAATGATTGGTCTTATCAAATAGTCATAGGAATGGAACATTTTCTCAATGAATATAATAAAGATCTGGAATCATGGCAGAGAATTGGATCTCTTGTCTTTGACACCTGTGGTCGTCAGCAAAGAGCTCAAGAACAAGTTTTCAATTTATATGCATCCGAAAATAGTGTTATGTCTGAATCTGTGGTTGCAGCTATTACTTTTGAGGAGGAATTGGCTAAAGAAGTAGCTATAGTTTTGGAAACAATGGAAATACCTCAAATAGTCATACCTACATCTTTCATTACATCCTTCGATGCTCCTCATCTGACTTATAGAACATTACCCGATGATCACGGGCATGCCTCCGTACTTTCATCACTTATTTTAAATTACGGATGGGAAGGCATTTATGTTATGTATAGCGCAAGCCAAAAAGGACGAAAACTTTATTCCGACTTTGAAAATTTAGCTGGAGGGAAGTGTATTGCAAATTCACTGATTCTTCATCCAGGAAATAATGGTGATGATATTGCTAGTCAAATGAAGTCGATGTTAAGTGATCAAAATATTAAAGTTGTAATCTTAATGCTAGATGATATTTATTTAACAAGAAATGTTATATGGGCAGCTCGAAAAATCAACATTTTAAGACAAATGATTTGGATTGAAACTGAAGGTTGGGCAGATAATCAAATGATTGAAGAACTTTTACCGAAAAACGCCAACTTTATGACTGTTCGTCTAGAAAATCCCCAAATACCTGGCTTTAATAAATTCCTAACTACTTTTTCACCATCTAAAAAAGGAAGTATACCAGAAGATTGGTTCCGAGATATCTGGCAAAGTATTTTTAAATGCAATTTAAACAGTACAGGTACAACATCAAAAACATATTCAAAACAATGCAGCGGCAAAGAAAAGATTCGTGATAATATTAAACAAAGTAAATATATTTTTCAAATATATCAATCAATTTCCGTCATTACTCGTAGTTTGAAACGTTTGTTTCAAAATAATTGTAACCAATCTCAAGGAATTAAACAATTAAACGACTGTGTGATTGATGCCCGCTCAAAATTGGCTCGACATATTCAAAAGGAATTAGAAACTATCATCAATTATGACATTATGATTTTGAAGAAAGTTGCAGGAAATGGACATTACGTTTATGAGAAAGTAAGAAAGAATTTTTGAACGAATTAATTAAAAAAATTTAATTAATGCTTAATTTATTGTTATTTTTCAATAGGTTGGTGATTGGAAAAATGGAAATCTTACCATATTGTCAGACTTAATTCAATTTCGAAGATGTATTAGTAATTGTTCCGGTTGCAGTTTGAAGAAAAACGGAAGTTCGATTACTTCAAATTCTATTATATTTTTAGAACGTCAACCTTTATTGACATCTATTAAAACTGTTCCCAATATTGTATTTATAGCTCTTTCTTCTTTGGGTATAGTTCTTGTCGCAATATGTGCTCTCTATTTTTTAGCTGCTTTTCCTGTTGCTGTTGGCACTACTATTCTCGGATATACAATTTTAGTCGGACTCTTATTACTTTATGCTTCTAATTTTGTATTTATAATTGAACCCTTACCAGTACTTTGTGGATTAAGAAGATTTGTGATGGGTTTTTCATATTCGATCATATATGCTGGAATGCTAGTAAAAGTTATGAATACTTGGAGAATGATGGGATATCATGGTAATGGAATGATGGAAGATAATTCTAGATTACCTGGATCAGGAGGTTTACTAGTAATAGCTTTAGGACTTGTTACGATTCAAGTAATTCTTATGGCATCATGGTTAGTATTGATGCCTCCTAAAATTACCGTGTTTGATGGAAAATGGAAATGTGAACCGGTAATGACATTTGAGTACGAATTGCTCGTATCACATACATATGTTTTTCTATTATTATTCGTTACCATTGTTTTTGGTTTTGTTACGTGGAGGAGTACTGATAACCTCGGTGAAGCACGTTGGATCTTAAGCGCTTGTCTCGTTTCTGGTGTCATTTGGATAGCTTGGCCTATAACCACTCTATATTTTCCTATAAAATATAGGGATCACATAGTGGTTAGTGCCAATCTTTTATCTGCTAGTCTTATCATGATATGTTTATATCTGAGGAAAGTTTATATTTACGGAAAATTGAGTCGTCAAGCGCGTGATCAAGAGATCAAAGCAAGATTACATCCCAATGAACAGATGAAACCCACGTATGGTACGTCACTTAGCCAAAGAGAAACAGTAACGAGAGGTTAGTGTATAATGTGATTAATATATTAATTAATAATTTATACGTTTTTATGTTTATATTTCGACACTTCAGGCATACAAGTAAGGAGGATGGATTCGGGTGAAGATGGAATAGTACAAGTACAAGCCGCTGATCTGTATCCTCTTGACATGTATGACGGAAGTTGTCACTTTTTGGGAAGGAGATCGATACAACGGAGACGTTAAATTTCTCTTATATCATCCAAAAAATAGTCATCATAATACTCAGGCTGTATTTATTGCCCTTACAGCAAATTTAATAGATTTATTCGCGTGAATATTTTGTTTAGACACGCTTCAATGTACATATTCTTAACTATATTAACGTTGTACAAAATATTCTACTTTAAATCAAAATAAATATTCTATTTTAAAAGTATTCTATGTTATTCATGTTCTTAAAATCAAAATAAAAGTATTTTTAAATAAATATTCTATTTTAAAAGTATTCTATGTTATTCATGTTCTTAAAATCAAAATAAAAGTATTTTTAAAATATAGATATACAGAATTTTCTTGGTATTCAACGTTTTACAAAAGATAAACGGCTTAATACCTGCTTCGATATTTTACAAATACCAGTTAAATGGAAATACTGTATTTTGTCTCTACATTCTATTTATACATTACAATTCTACATTTATTTATTGTTATAACTATGAATGGATGAATGCAAAATGTAGTTATTTTTGTTTAAATTCTATTCTTTTACCGAAGAATAATATTACATTTGGATTGTATTCTAAATATATAAAATTGCTCCTTTTGAAGAACATTTATTAAGTTAGTGCAAGTCATTGTAATATTTTCTTTTATTCGAAACTAATCTACTTTCTAAGAATTAGTATATTCTGCCTATCCTATACTTTGAAAGGATACACATAAACATAATGAGAATATTGACAGAGAAAACACGTTTAGAAACAAGTTCTCTTTATTTGAAAATTCTTTTATTAATTCATCGAACCGGATTATTATTTTTTAAATATAAATGTCAAAAAACTTCAATCCGGTTCGATGAATTTATAAAGATTTAACCTCATTTAACTTTATATTAAAATTTTAATTTAGAATTTTTGTTGTGGGTTCATTCTCCAAGGTATTATTTAGGAATCACATTTCATAAGCTTGTTTATAATGTGGGCTACACAATATATTGTTTAACGGAAGTAGTAGTTACGTTCTAAAGCATTTCTTAAACATTTAAGGTCGATGTTTTATCCTTGCCAACGTAGTTTATCTGGTTTTAAATTAATTAAATATGCCAGTAGTCCCCACGTGTTTGATTCGAAACCAGTCTATTATAAATAACACGTTAAACATAATTTTCTATTCATTTATTGTCAAGCTTGTCATATAATTATGAGCTTTACATGTAAAAACAAGATATATATATTTATTTATTCATTAATTTTAAAATAAAAACTAAGTTTAAATATCGTCTCCAGTTAAGCAGAATTCCTTTAAAATTTTAAAAAATGGTATAACTTATTTTATATCATTTAACAATAGTATTTTATTTGGCAAATCTTTGTCAAATATATATTATACGCCATTTTTTTTTTTTAAAGCTTAATAATATTAACGTTAAAGTTAACCGAACATCTGTCCCATTCTTTGAACAGTGTTCCATTTTTTTTGACGCGTGTTTCAAAAAAAAATCACCTAATCAGATTCGCTATGATCACCTGCACGTAACAAGGTCACTTGTAAAAAAATTTCCGTTGAAATTTCACTAGATAAATTCGTCCATAACGATAACTTTCCCTTCAACGGTTTTTTTTTGCCCATTTTGTAAAGAAATTATTCAACCGAAACAAGAAAATACTTTGTTTTTTTTTTTATATTAAATTATAAGCTTAATTCTAATAAATACTACAAATTTTAGTGGGTTTATTTAATTAAAAAAAACAATAAAATTTAAAATATTTCAATAATATATTCTACTTTTTATCATTTAAAATATTATCTTTAATATCGATATACTTATAATTATAATAATTAATCATAGGTAATTTATTCCTTTTCCTGTTTCCTTTCACTTGTACATCTCACAGCTGCACGCAAATAAAATGCCTGTTTGTAACACGTGATACTTGTAAACTGAGATATCAAATCTTTCACTAAATATATTAAAATCAAATTTAATTCTAAAAATTCAGTTTTATATATATTTTTGAAAGAACAATATATGTTTTAACGTTAAAATAAATAGCATTTTTAATGTGACTTTTCGATTTAAAAATTTTTCCCAATCAGATATTTTTTTTATATAACAACAACAATAATAAATAGATATGTAAAAATTATATATTGTTCAGATTGTCCACATTTCTCTAAACAAACTTTGTCACTTATTTAGTTGTTGTTGTGCTCCACGTGACACGATGGGGATGCGACCGTCACGCGATATCGTCGCGAATAGCCCGCGACGATACCGATGTAGTGTTGCGAAGCGATCGTCGTAAGAGACGTTATTTATAGACCGTAGTCGTTGTAGTAAGTTAAATAAGTTATTTTTTTAATATTTCATGATTAATAATAGTTTCTAATAAATAAAATACAAAATATAAGAACTTTGTAAGGATATTTACGTTTGAAACATTACACATGCAACCTTACAATCTCGACAATGTGATGCTTTGATGCAATACTGTATTTTATAATCCATTTGTGAAAAAAACTCCCAAAAATCAAAAGTTTATTAATTTAATTATTTGTCTCCAAGCTTTCTTTTCTCTTCCTGGAAAATTTTCTGAGAACGCCGTAAATCAAGCAAGGATAAACCTGAATAACACGGGTTATCCTTATATATCAGCGCGTAGTTCAATGTAGCGGATGTAGGATTACAGTGTAAAGAGTAGTATATTTTAAAATGTTTTGTGTGTTTTATTTTTTTCCCGTCTCATATTGTGTTTAGTAAATACCACCATCGTAAAGACCGTGCCTATTTTTTTCTTTTAAATGTCTTCCAAAAAACCTAACCAATTTTCATCCAAATATTATTTTCAACCGTTGAAGTGAAATGCCAGGCGCGAGTAGCGCGCGACGATCGCATCCGTGTCGCGTGGGGATAACAGACTAATGAGTGCCAAAAAAATTTAAAATTAAATTTCCTTTTTTAAATACAATACAGTCGACCCCCTATAAGATATAGATACGTTCCAATTTATTAGGAATCCGATTTCTTACAAGTCGTTCCAATCACAGCCCGACACGTGTCAAGTTTACGGACTACGGCTGATTGAAAGGTTTTCTTCCATAAAATTAATCGATTCTACACTAATCCGACTCAACATTTCCAAAATACGTATATTTTTTCGTAGTTTTATAGGAATCGTAATTATAGGGACCGTAATTATAGGGGGGTCGACTGTATAAATATTTTGTTGTTTTGACGTTTGTTGACATTTTCTATATGTAATGAACTTTTGAAGGTGAGACCTTGCTCTGTTCTTTGAGAATCCATTGTATATGAGCATTATATGAGATCATGCCTATTGTGCAATGCTCTTATACTTCTTTTTTTTTATTAAAAATAGTATTACGTTATTCCCACAAATTTAATTCCTGTTACTCCATTATTTATCTTTTATTAATGGGACGTTCGAACTTAATGCCGCATCAACAGTTGGTCGAATGAATAAAATCACCGAACCATTGTTGGTCGTGGGTTAACGCCTGGCCAACGAACTGGTCCTGTGCAGTTTTCCGGCTTTTCTTCACGTTTATAACTCCTAAATAGGGGTTTTCCATAGAAAGTCCTCCCAGAACGCATCTTACCTCGGCAGATAGTCCAAGTGTAGAGATAAACGAAGAGGTCAACGTGATTAAATTATTAGAAAATGGTCAAATTAGACAGGTAGATGTTATTTAATGAGGATCAAAAGATGCTACAGATTTTAAAATTTATACAGTACAGGTATACCTCGCCTTACGTCGGTAATTGGTTCCAGGAAAACGACGTAAGTCGAATTTACCTGTCTCCGAATCTACTTATCACTAGGAAAGCATTTTAAATAATATATGGTTAATAAAAATCTATTTTAAGCTTACAAACAAATAAATTTTAGTTTTTAATATAGTACAAAAAAATAATCTAAATTTACGAATGCGTGTACTGTAAATACAGTACATACTTGTATATATTTTAATATGATTTTATGTGCTTTAAACGTTTATCTAGTGATATTACGACTTCAATATTTGTGGCGGACAGACGTAAAGTCGAATAAAATGACTTAAACTTGATTTTTATTTTTCCATATACTTTTTTAACAAGCGACGTATAATCGGGAACGACGTAACTCGAAACGACGTAAGTCGAGGTATGCCTATATTAGAAAACATATCTAGACATCTTATAAGTAAGCGAGTTAGAATCCTCCTCCCAGCTGCAGTCGTGGCCGAGTGGTTAAGGCGACGGACTAGAAATCCGTTGGGATCTTCCCGCACAGGTTCGAATCCTGTCGACTGCGAATTTATTTTTCTAATTGTAATTTATTTTTTAAAATTTTAATTAACCCTATCGTTAATTCCTTTGACCGATATTTCTATTTTTAACCCATTTTCTATATAAAAATTATTATTCCTCTCATATAATAGCGCCATCTATCGGTACAGAAAATAATTACGAAATTCGATTTACCGTTCACTCAAAAATCCATAAAAGAAACTTTACGTGCAAACAAATAAATTTCACTAATGATCGATTAAAACAATTAATAAAGCTGGATCGATACACGTCATCGAGTGCTCCATCATCGAGTAAACAAAGTTAAGGTCGTGCCAATAGGAAAATAACAGAAGAATTTCATTGACAAACGCAAAATTCTCAATTAAATTTGCGTCAATATCACTAAATAAGTGGCTATAACATTAGCGGCAATAATTACTATACCTCTATTTAAAGCGAAACACTTCCAACCGGTTAATCGAGGTGGATTGATAGAAGCGTTGATCAAAAAACACTCCAGCACCCTCTGCTCGCATTGCAGACGAGTGACGGTAATGTTAGACAATATAAAAACGCCATTTTCGGCTTCTTTAGTCACTCGAGCCGCAACAAAACACATAAGAGAAAAAATACAAACGTCCAAAATCACTTGTATGCACATCATGGACAAGACATCCACCACACGAAACTTATAAATGTACATAATGGTACTGTGCATGTTAAAAGTGACGTGCAGAAAGAGGGACGTGCACCACCAAAACACCAAAGGCGAGAAGATGTCTTCCAGAGAAGACACCAAACAACATAATTCGCAATATTTCTTTATATATTTATTAATTTCGACTTTATTCTGAAGATTTTCGTTAATCGTCCTGAAGCTGATACTCAGAAGGGTGCATACGAACGAGAAAAATACGACAAAGAGTCCTCGAGGGAAGACCACCATCCAAACGTATAAAAGAGAATCTAAGCAAACTGGCAAGTAGAAAAGATTTTTATGAATCGAATCGTTATTTACCCTAATCCCAAAGAAATATCTATTGTAATAAACGTCCAACGACGTACGAATCGCTGCTTCTAACCATAAATATGCTAAAACGAAGCAGAAAAACCATAAGAAACCCATAATGAGTGTGAAACGCTTTTGTAGAAACTTTAACTGATTGCAAATTGGATACTTTCTATCGATATTTACGAGTAATTTCTTGATGGATCTCCTCTTCTTGTTCAGATATATTATGGACACGAAGATGATGGCTTCGCTCATGGCATCCGTTGTTAGATTGAGAACTTCCGTAACGATTTTCTCTCTCAGAGCGTAACACACGATGTTACTAAACGTAACTAACGATTTAATGAATATTATCAAGCTAACTATATACTTCCAGATATTTAAACACCTCGAGTTATCTTCAAGATAGATTCCGTACATCTTCAATACGAGTAACACGGGCAGAAAAGCTCTGTATAATCTTCTGGATCGTCCATTTTCGTATCGAATTTTGCCTTTTCTGCTACTTTTCGGGTTTATTTTAATTCTCATGATGTTTTTGAAGCTCTTCTTCATTTTCTTAGTGTTTAATTTATCTAAAAATCCTATCTATTTTTTCTTCTTTAAAGTAAAAAAACGAGTCGACGCGTTAAAATGTGCGTAAAAAATGATTTTATATAAAATTTTGCTCACCTTTCCTTCTCGAGATTGTGAATTTTCTTACTCGAATCGAAAAATTGATGCTTGGTGTTAAGGTTGTGACTTCTTTGAGGGTTCTTTATCGACTGGATTGACAACAAACGTGCGAATCTCATCGGAATTAGCGCTTGGCGCTCCTCTACTAATGTTATTAATTGATGTCGTGTGGAAGAGTTAATTAAGAAAAATAAATAAATAAATAAATTGCGATTCTGCGTGATTAGAACGTTAAAAAACATGAAATTTTTAACGAAATTCTTACTTTTAAAGCTTTAAAAGTCATAAAATCTTAGTTTAAAGCCTGTTAATTACGCCAACGTAGAGAACAAAATTCTAAAATTTAGTCTTAAATTATTCCGTTTTAACAATTATTTCTCGGTTTAAATTTAGTTAAAAATATAAAATTTAACAAGAAGTTAAATTTAATTATATTTAACTAAATATGAGAAAAATATAACTGAATTTATTTAAAGACTGTTAATAGAAGTGATAATGCCAGGCTGCAATTTTTAATCATTTTATTTAATTTATTTAATTTAAAATATATTCTCTGATTATTGATTTTTTTGAAGATTATTGGTTGTTTTTACTTTTTAAATTTTACTAAGAAAATATAAGTTTGATTTTTAATTTTTAAAATAAAATTTCATTTAAAAGGGTTAAAAATCACGGTTTAATTATTCAGATTTAATTAGCTCCAACAACACATCCCATCTCTTCTGATGCTTGTAAATGCTATCCAATAATTCGTCTGGAGTGGGATAAGGAGTCCTGCACATGAATAATAATAATTTAAATGTAGCTATTGTTAAATAAAAATTATATATTGCATAAATATAAAATTCTAAAAATTAAATATTTTGTGATTATTTTGAGGAGAAAAGATCCACAAAACTAGATGCCATCCATGTATGGAGTAAATTATTTGTATGCGAGATTAAGACACGTGGGCGATGTGCCAAGGGGATGCCTCCCGTGAGGACTTTGTTATGGGAAATTATCCCCTACTTAAGTATTACAAACGTGAAAAAAAATCTGGAAAATGCCACGTGGCCAACCCGTTGGTGAGGTGCGAACCCACGACCAATAATCAGTGGTGTTATCCACTCGGATTGTTAACAATGAGTGCATCCGGTTGTCTTAACGAATTATATGGAATTAAGAGAAAAGCGCTTACCCAAAGATTCTTCTCCAACAACGTACAAAGATATTAGGACGAACATTTTCCCAAATTTCTCCTTCCATTTTCTGTTTGCAACCACAAAACCATCCAAAAATGTTATTTTTAGGAGCCAAAAAATTTCCTTCTAAATATTTCGGGAGATCCCGAACGAATTTCTCGGGACGTAAATGTTTATAATCAATCGTTTTTCTAGGATTCAATTTCAACTCGAACGAATGCAAATATAAAGAATCTAACAGATCGTCATCTATTTCAGTTTTTGTCCTTAAAGGATCGAAAGATTCCATCAACGAATATCCGGCATCATCTTCCGATTTTGAAGAATGGTCATCATTCGAATTCTCATCATCCTGTTGCAGTTTGGGTTTAGAGATAATGGCATTAAGAACATTAAATTTCTTACGACGATCCTTATTTGGAGTTTCACTATCAGGGTCGTTTTGATTTTCAGGTGATTTTCTTGAATATTTCTCGAATTTTTCTGTTTGAGTTGCTTTGTCCATATCAGATTATTCACTTAGGCCTCATATAAAACAAATTTTAAAAGCTTTCGTAATAGTAATTGTTGCAATTGTCGATAAGAATTAGCAACAATCCTTCGGCCCACATTCACTATGCTCTATTATTAAAACGTATGGATACATATCTGGATTTCTATTGGTTGCTCAAGGGCCATTTTAAGCACTTTTGATATCTTTGATCCAAATTCTTTATATATATTATACAGATACAGAACAAATTTTAGTTATGGGCAATGAGGTGAAGCTTCTAAGAAGGCCACTGTCATGAGCGGGACTGGCTTGCATCTAAGCTAAATCTAGGATTTAGGGCCTGGTATTGAATCTTAGAGCCAGCCCTGGATGTAACTGGGCGTATCCATGCATTAATGTGGCCCAAATAGTTATGAAAATTTGCAATGGTAGCAAAAATATGACTGGAATAATTAATATTATTTTATAACAAAAATCTATGAGGGATAAGAAAGATCCAATCAAATACATTTTTTAATTTATAAATAAAATTTTAATATTAAAATACAATTCTTTCCAAAAAATTCTTTAACTCTATCATAAACATATTACAAAACTTTAATTTTTTATTTCTTTTAAGAACAACTTTAAAATTTTAATGTAATTAAATGATGTTATACATCATTAATCTGCAGTATCTTCTTCTGGTGCACACTAAAAATAAATAATAACTAGTTGAGATTATAAAATAAACTTAATTAATATATAAATAGTAATAATATTTTTTAAAAAATTAAAAAAAAATTAGAAATTCTGGCTAATCTTAATGTTGATATTACTTTATCTTTGCTAAAATATGAGTGCTTTTATAAAACTGATTAATAATTCCAATATGTTGCCTATCCTTGACTGAAATTTCTTCAGAAATGGTCAAATACAGCAACAAAACACACCACTGATCTGCCAAGTAGGATACTTTCTAGGAAGACTTTCTATGGATCTCAGTTTCTACAGGTTAGACAAGGAAAACCCAGAAAGCCAACCTGTCAGTCAAGTACAAAACCTACAAATGTTCAGTGATTTTATCCATCAGCCACTGGTGGGCATCTTCATAAATACAGAGTAGTCTTAGTTGTAATACAATGTCACTTCATGCCAACGTTTATTATATGATTATAACATTTACGTGTTGTGTTATACGTAAGTGTTATAATCATATAGTCTTAGTTTATGTAAAATTTGTTTCTGGAGTGTCAAATAAATAAAAATTGCAAAAATGTTCATAAAATCTACAGATTATTTTCTGAATGCATAAATAGTTACTAAGATAACAATTTTTCAGATTATTTTAAGAAAAAAATTCAGTTGAAAGTTAACTATATATAGGCAGTCTTAGAATTTTGGACAACTCACTTTACTTTGGTATCCTTAAATTACTTTTTGTATGCCACATTTGAATTTTTGTATAGTTCAGTTGACAAAAATTTTAAGTTATTGTGAGAAGTGGCTCTTTGTGTCAATTTTGGTTTTGTAACAACAGAACTGTCCAGCAATTGAATGGGTCTTGGAATAGTATGGGCCACTTTTGAATTTTTGTTTTGAACAAATTAATTATGTAGAGCATTTTTTTATTAATAAAAAGCAGTCTTAAAGATTTAATGCTGTTTTTTACTAACAAAAACATAAATTTATAGGGAGTTGGAATGACTAAGGTTTGGGGAAAAATCGCTATTTCCTTCCCCTCTTGACAGCCTCGGGTAGCAACAAAATCATTTGCGAAAATTAATTTTTATTGTGTTATCTGTTTAATCTATGATTTTATTATTCTAAAAGTGTAAAACTGTAAACTTTATCCTTATAATTTAAAATGTAAACTGTAGCTTCTTTAATTGATATTTTAATTTAGTCTGAACTATCTATATTGTAGATCAAGGGTCGCTAAGCTTTTTTGATCGTCGCCCCCTACAGGTTTTTGAAACCTCACATCGACCCCCACCAAAAAGTTTGTGTTACAAGCAAAACAAAGTACTTACTATTTTAATACATTTCTTTTAATTTTGCATTTTTTTTTCATTTATTGTATATTTGTTAATAATAATTTTTGTAACTGACAATCAGTGAGATAAATAAGCTTGATCCGTAGATCCCCTTATCCTTAGCTTAAGCTTGATAATCGACTCCCGATAATGTTATATCAACCACTTTGGCGACGTTTTGTAATATTAAAAAATGTATAAAACAAACAAAATAAGTTATAAATATATAATAACAACTTACAAAATATTCTACAAAGCAAGTTTGACCATCTTCAACCTTTATCATGTACTGCAGACATAAAAATCCTTGGTCATCATTTCTTATGGATATTTTAGCAGACTGTATCAAAGCTTTGAATGATGGTTTTAACAGTGAGATTTTATATCTAATTAAATTAATCAAAAATAATTTTAACTAATTTTTCATTTTTTCTTAAATACTATATAATACTCAATAATAAATGAACTTATTAAAAATAAAATAAAATAAAATAATTCAACATTATTCAATACTAAGATAATTTAGGATAATCCAAAAGTTCTGTAAGCCACTTTTTAAAACATCGGTACATTATTCCTTTTTGTGATATGTCTTGTTAGTGATATATGATGTCCTTAACATGTGTAAGATGATCATATTGTGTATTTGCTACAGTACATTTATTAATATTTCTTCTCTTTTCAGAGCACAACCAAATGCCTTTTTTGCAAGACCAACAATTTTTTTTTCTGAAACAATATTTTTCCCAAAAAAATCTTACATGAGAATAAAAAAGCTTTTTAGAGATGATTTTTGGATGTCATCCCACAAAGAAGATGGCAATTTCAAGGCTAGTGAACAGTTTTTGAGAAACGTGTAATATGTATGACAGCAAATGGAGTGGATGATCCTATCTGTCTTGACAGATAACAAATAATGTGAGAGAGAGCTTATTCCATTCTCCCCAAAAAGTCCATGAAAACTTTCATCATAAGTAGGTTTATCAAATGGAAGCATTCCAAGCTGTAAAGAAATTAAAGGTTTATATCCATATTGTAAACAGGTTATCCATGAGCTACAGGTGAAATCAAGTATCTGGATTATTGCATTGGTTTCAATCCTTCATAAACAACATTTTAGACAGTTTTTCCAAAGAATGGTTATGTAAATAGCTAAAGTTGGACTATTAAAACTCCTAACATTGTCTGAGAAATCTCTGTACCCTATTAATATCAATGTGTGGTGTGCTATATCTGATTAGCAAATAATCACACCTTTCTTAACTAATATTTTGAATGGTATTCTATATAGAAATTAGGTAACAAAATTTGTGGCATTACTGGAACTACAGGAGCGATCCTGTCAAATTCAGAAGTCTCATGAAACTGACTGAATTTTTAGTGATCACTGAAGTAAGGGTTTGTGATCTTCAATGTTACCAGAATATTTTCTATAGAGATATATTAAAGGAGAGGATATCAAAACTAATCCTCACACAACTGTCGAACTAAAACCGAACATTGTTTTATAACAATCACCAAGGTTTCTGTTTCAATTTTGAAAGCCTCAAGGAACTTGATAGAAAAAGTATAAGTTTCTCAACAGTGGACAATTTGTCTTGTAAGATGAGACACTTTATAGCACTTGGATCACCCTGTTCTATGATATATAATAAAATATTAATAGTCAAGTTTTCTTGGTAATCTTGACTTGTCATTTCACTCTTTAGTTTTTAATAACTTTAAAAAATAAAGAAGAAAAAGCCAAGTCAAGATTCCTAAGAAAATACTGTGTGATAAGTACAAAAATAATAGCCAGGAATATATAGTTATATAAGAATAAAATATAAATAAAAAGAACAGAAGCTATAATAATCAATATTAAGTTAGTTAAGGAAATCATAAATCAGATAATGGATGAATATTTTTAAGATTCTCATGGCTTCAGATTCAACTTGCACAAATCACAGAACTTTAAATCATTCAGTTGTTTCAAGTTTTAAAGTTGAGAGAAATCTTAAAAATATTCATTTTCTATCTAATTTTGGACTTTTATTTTCCTGGCTGTTATGTATGCATAACAAGGGAAAGTAATGGAATCGTGTGAAATTTGACCCTCTGAGTGTTTTGCAAATTTCCACGTTTTGAGACCCCTGAATCAAAAAAAAAAAAAAAAGGCAAAAAATTCCATGGACATGTGTGTTGGCATTTATTTTGCTCAGGGTTGGCAAAGATAAAGAAACAAAATTTGACATGGTAACTTGTATATAATGGGCATTTATGCTATTAAATTTTGGTTGTGGAAGGTCCAGGGAATGGAGATAGAGAATGGTCATTTGATATATCTCATGAGGGGGTCAGACTTAATGAAGATTTTACTTGTTGTTAGCATTTATAGTGTTTTATAAAACTCACATCTACCCTCAAAATTAAGTCTTTTGCTATTTTATAATCAAAAATATATAAAGTTTTTATAATAAAATGTCATAAAAGCCGGGAAAGTTATGCAACTCACTGCTAGATTTTTTAAATCATTCTTTTTAAAAGCTCAAAACAATGTAACATTTCATTTTGAAAGATATATTATTATAATGAATATCAATAAAAAAAAATAAAATAATGCATATTTTCTTACCTATTTGTCTGTTCTTTTAAACAAGTGAAAGTTTCTATCATATCTGAATCTTTGGAAAAATCTAACTGTAAAATAAAATCTTTATTACTGTTTATGTAATTCAAAGCAATAAATAAATCTGTATCACATATAAAATACATCTATAAATTTTTAATGCATTATAACAAATAAAATTTGAGATTACTTTTTTTGTTATAAAGTCCTTTATAAAGAAAATCAGAGAATGCAGAAACATAATTTGTAAAATCATTAGAAAGACATAAATTATCTTAACTTTTATTTTAATCAAATAATCTATAATTTTTAAGAAATTTCTTTTGACTTTTTGAAATGGGCAAAAAACTGTGAGAACCTGGAATTTGATGAAAAAATTGCACAATATTGTCATACTTATTTGGATGACTGTTGTCCTTTGCTACCTGAGAACATCTCAATTTACATTTTCTCGAAGGCAAAAGCGATGCTTCCCCGTGATCTGTTGATCCTCTGACCATTCTCTACCATTTTAATATTGGAACTGACGATCCAAGGAGTCAGTTGTTGCCGAGTCAAGGTAGCATTGCCCATCCCTCCCTGATGCAACAAGTCATCACCCAGTCCTATAACGGACGTTGTTGCCAATTCTTCAACTGATACCATGAATTATGTGCTTCCGATTTGAATACACTATCAACTCTGACCTGAATCATTATCCAGAATTCTTCTAACATGCCAACCTCCTTGTTTATTCAATCTATCTAAAGATCAGAACAAATCTTCATCCTGGATCAGATCTACAAATGGATCCTTCAAACTACAGGTATTTATCTCCACATGAATCTCATATGAACTCTCTCTCTCTTGCGACCACATACGTTAAATAGATCCGTAAATTCAATGTCTTACTAAAATGAAAAATTGTATCATGTACTCTTTTACTTTGTTATTAAATGGTTATTAGTTGTTAACCTGGCATCCGAGTGATTTACTTCCAGCGTGCCTTCTCTCTGACCTCCTCCATGTGACTTGCTGTCTCTCAGATCACCTCCATCCCGAATCTGATTGACTGCACACATGACCACTCGCGTGACTGCACAACAATAACCCTGAGATTAAACAAAAACAGTACTAGTTGCTGTGCAGTGTCTTTTAACCTAACGTAGTCATCACCAAAGTGATGTTGACCCTTCAGTCAAATGGTGCAGAAGCCTAGAGTGTGCTTTGTGGATTGTCACAAAACATTATTTTGATATTTCCATCTGGGTTGACATAACAGATTTTATAACATAAATTAAAACTTACAAGGAAACTGGCCAATATATCATCCAAGTATAAAATTATGCCTTCATTCCATTAGGCCTCTTAGTGCTCTCAGAGCAGAAAGAGGACTACACCACAAAACTGCAATCATTTAGGCCCTCCATAAACTGTCTATACATAAATAAAGCTATTTTTGTTTCACATTTAAGACAGATTGTGACAAAAATTTATACATTTAAGGGAGGTTTCAGAGTAAAAGAAATTATTTGAGATAATTTTCATAATACCAAATACAAAACAATTAATTCATGCAAGTGATATCAAGTTTTCCAAGTTAGCAGGTATCAATGCATTTAATCAATCAAAGCTCATTAGAAACAAAATTGTTTTGTTTACTGTGTTAGAATTTCTATCTATAGAGGTATATTCATTATAACATGGCAATAATCAGGCTAGTTTAGTTTTAATGTGGTGAACAAATTAACTGAAATCATGCTTTTTTGTGAGCAATACACATGGTTTGAATCACATGTATCATATCTACAGTTAGACAATTATGAATATACAGTAGAGCGTCAATTATCCAAATCAATTGGGGACTGGAGTTGTTAGGAAAATAGATTTTTTGGACAACCGATTATGTATGAAAAAATACATTATTAATATAGTATATTAGTTTATCCCAATAATAGTATATTTATATATCCTATGTTTAAATTTTTCTCTGTTGCATGCTGCTTCGCATTAAATTTTCATTGATGTTAAGCCTAACAAAAATTTTTATAATAATAATCGTGGCTATTGTATCATTAAAAATTATTTATTTATTTATATACAATTTTGATCTGACTTATCCTTAGATAATAACACTCATGAGGCTAACTGGCATATAACTGATATGGAATGTGTTCGAAACAACACTCCACAATGCCCTTTACTTTGAAGAAACTGAAAAGAAACATCAACCTCAAACAACAGTGTTGGTTACAACTTCAGAAAGGCAAACTAGGAGCTATTCATGACTTCATTATCTGTGCAACTGCTGTCTATTGATAGAGAACTAAAGTGTGACCTAAGTGAATCAAAGGATGTGTTTAAACCTCCTTACAAATAATACTACTAACCTCAGCAGATGAGGCAATAACTATAAAAGTATCTGATGTAAACAGCATAATCATACTTAAACAGCCTGTATCACATCTTCATTACTGCTAAACTTTTTCTCATCCAATTTCTCCTTTAGGAAGCCAAAAAGGATGACAGTTGAAGAATGCAAAGTCTATACTCTATGGAGATATAGAATAAGATTTCATTTCAGTTTCTACAGTAGATGGTGGGCATAGTTTTGAGCAGCCATGTAGACAGGTGTTACCAGGGCTATGGAGTCAAAGTCCAGAGGAGTTAGAGTCGGAGTTGGGAAAAATGTGTCAACACTGAATCCGACATTTTAAATTAAATTAAATTTTTTATTTAAATGAAAGAAGATTTATTTTATATTTAATAATATTTTAAAATGTTTTTGTAGTTTATTATAATTCATTTATTTTAAGTACAAAAATGCAGCAATTTAATTTATTAAATATGTAGTTTTCTTTGTAGTATTTGTGTTTAGTAGTTAAATTATTTTGACTTAAATATATTTGAATATTTTTGAATCATTCTTTATTATCCCCACTCTAAATGAGTACTCTATTTTTCTGAATGAGAGAGACTAATTGATCAGAGTATATATTTTTCTTTTCTGAACAAGGGGCTGAAGTAGTTAGTTCGCCCNAAATGGTTTTTATTTTTAAATTGAATGTACTGTACTTATGAATTCACTCTAAAAATACACTTGAATGAAACTCATGCTATGTCAATAATTTAAAATAAATAAATTTCCAAAGTAGCAGAATTTATTTAAAAGCAAACATTGTTTTCCTACTAGCCTGAAACTACTTATTTTCAATTATGAATTTCACCTTGTTAAAATGTCATAATCTTATGATTATAATGATCCAGTTTTAAAGTAAAGTTATTTTTGGCTTGAACATTATCGCATTTAATAGTTGCAACAGTAAAACTTACATGTTATTGATTGAATTAATGAATTGAGCAATGCTTACCTTATAATGAACGTAAATGAGACATAGTGAGATTTTATAGATAATTAATTTCATTAAATAAAAAAAGTTTTATTTGTTAAATGAAACGTGTTTGTGGAAAAATGTCCTTAAATAAGAAAACTTTTTATAGAAAAAGTGGAAGAAAAATTAACCAATGACAGTATAAAAAAAAAAAAAACAACAAAAATTTCTATCTAAATTAAAAGAGCTAGAAAATAATATTTTCATTTAAATTACAAATTAAATTATAAATTATTTCGTTATAAAAATNACCAATGACAGTATAAAAAAAAAACAAAAATTTCTATCTAAATTAAAAGAGCTAGAAAATAAACGTTTAATATTTTCATTTAAATTACAAATTAAATAATATCAATTTGTCTTAGTACTGTATTTACTTACGTTTATAGTACCTAAATTGCTAACTGTAGAAAACCTAAGATTTGGTGTATTGGGAGATATTGTAATTTCTAATATTTCACTGTTCAGATCCAGATCATTCCAAACTTCTTTAAGAACCTCAGACTGAAAAAATAAATATTTGTTAAATACATTTGCAATTTATTGCTTTTGTGACTTTATTATTTGATGCCAAAACGACAAAAAATATTCTATACAATAATTCATCTATGATAACAATAATTTGCAATTATTTTTATTTATCTCTTGCATGCAATATTATGTTTTCTGTCAAAATCAATTAAAAATTTACACTGGACATACCATTGATAATTGATGGATGTTTTGTATAAAGTAATTAACTGATATCATTACAGACAGTGCTTTATAAGATAAATGTGAAAGTGGGAGATTCTGGGTTAAACACAAAAATTACTACATGATTTGTGGGCCAATGATGGAGTTAGGCAAAAATGATAAATCAGTTTAGAATTATTTATTTAAACAAAAATCTATATCTATCATATATACATTGAATGAAGTATCATAAACTATAACAAAACAAAATGATTAGGTTCAACAATTAAGTATGCAAGGATATCTAATTATATCTTGCTAAGTCTATCCTGATAAGAGAATTTACATATCTGAGTTAAATATAATATCTCATTTTGGTTCCTTATTTTCTTCTGAACTGTTCGCAGGACTGGCTGCAATTTCCTGCATTTGGCAGAAAACTCTTTCAGTTTAGACACAAATTTTCTTGAGAGTTCAGTTTCCAGTTCCAGCATTGGGCATTTGTGTTTGGGCCTATTTATAGGAATTTGTATGTTTAATAATTAGGGACGATTCAAGTCACCTGAGAAGAGAAGCAACAAGGAACTTCCTTGTTGAGTTGCTATCAAAGTCAACATCTCTCCTCAGGAACTTCCTTCTAAATCGAAAAAAGTCCCTCCATGACTCACAACTATAAAAAAAATGGTTTTCGTTTGTCAAATTTTTAAATTTTCAATTTAAATATAAAGTATTGGCCTCAGATTATCACATAATTTTAAAGCTCTGTAAAAAGTTGTATAAACATTAGTAGATTATTATTAGGACATCATGCAATAGAACTGAGGCAAAGCTGGAAAGAAAGAAGCAATCCTTGAATTGTTAACATGGAGAGCAGATCCTTGCATTTGCCAACACGGAGAGGCAATCCAAGAACAAAGTGATTGGCATTGATTGCTTTGTTCTTGATTCACCTCTCCATGGCAAAGTTTTATCAAAATTTGCCCATCAAATTTTGAGAATAAACTCCATTCTGTAAGTCACGTAGAAGAGGTTTTGCTAATTTGCCTCAATTAGACTATAGTCCATTAGTTGCATGACAAAAGATAATTATATTGTGTTATAATATATATATATATTTATTTATTTATATACAATTTTGATCTGACTTATCCTTAGATAATAACACTCATGAGGCTAACTGGCATATAACTGATATGGAATGTGTTCGAAACAACACTCCACAATGCCCTTTACTTTGAAGAAACTGAAAAGAAACATCAACCTCAAACAACAGTGTTGGTTACAACTTCAGAAAGGCAAACTAGGAGCTATTCATGACTTCATTATCTGTGCAACTGCTGTCTATTGATAGAGAACTAAAGTGTGACCTAAGTGAATCAAAGGATGTGTTTAAACCTCCTTACAAATAATACTACTAACCTCAGCAGATGAGGCAATAACTATAAAAGTATCTGATGTAAACAGCATAATCATACTTAAACAGCCTGTATCACATCTTCATTACTGCTAAACTTTTTCTCATCCAATTTCTCCTTTAGGAAGCCAAAAAGGATGACAGTTGAAGAATGCAAAGTCTATACTCTATGGAGATATAGAATAAGATTTCATTTCAGTTTCTACAGTAGATGGTGGGCATAGTTTTGAGCAGCCATGTAGACAGGTGTTACCAGGGCTATGGAGTCAAAGTCCAGAGGAGTTAGAGTCGGAGTTGGGAAAAATGTGTCAACACTGAATCCGACATTTTAAATTAAATTAAATTTTTTATTTAAATGAAAGAAGATTTATTTTATATTTAATAATATTTTAAAATGTTTTTGTAGTTTATTATAATTCATTTATTTTAAGTACAAAAATGCAGCAATTTAATTTATTAAATATGTAGTTTTCTTTGTAGTATTTGTGTTTAGTAGTTAAATTATTTTGACTTAAATATATTTGAATATTTTTGAATCATTCTTTATTATCCCCACTCTAAATGAGTACTCTATTTTTCTGAATGAGAGAGACTAATTGATCAGAGTATATATTTTTCTTTTCTGAACAAGGGGCTGAAGTAGTTAAATCGCATACTTTTTAGTTTGACTAACATTTCTGAAAGGGTGAAATTGAGTGCAAATGCTGTGTAAGGAACCAAGTCCAAGTGTTATTTTTTATTTTGCTTTTTATTCTATTTTTGTTTGAAGCTTATGTTTTGTCAGGATAAAGGTTTCCTCACCACTCATCTTAGAAACTTAAAACAGAAGAAAGAAAAACCAACTCACCAACGAGAAAAAGCACTGTAGAAAAAAAAAGAACTTGCACACACTTGCACTCCTGAGCAGAAAGAAGTAAGTCTGCACCAAGAATAGGGGGAGAGACCCTACAAGCATAACTTAGGAACTTGCTAAACCTTAACGATCCCAAAAATTGTCAAAAAGAATAATGTAAAAGGTTAGTGAGTATTGTCGGAAAATAGACTGCCAGACAAAAAGGAAAAGTTCAATGTTAGAGATAACTATGTAAATGAGGAGAGTGGCCTCAGTCAGAATTGTGACGTCACCTCACAGTATAAATCCTGTATCTCAAGCAAAGATGACCGAGGTGAGCTTCGTAGCAGTGAACGACAAGAGGTGTCCAATAGAATAAAGGTGTTCCAAGGCAATTAGAAGTTATTCGATTTGTGAATCGAAGATTAGAAAGTCTTGAGAGTTGAGGAAAAAGGTTCCTAGTATATCGAGGTGAGGGTTAGGACCTTAGTTCATAAGAATCATTATACATTAGTTAAGTCTTTGAATTTTTTGTCAAATTCCAAAGGGGAATAGATTTTGAGTTTTGTCGAGTTGATTCTTATTGTTGATTTTCTTTGAATAAATTGTTGTTTGATTGTTACTAAATTTTGTAAATAGTCATTATTAGAATTATTAAATATTGGATTGTTTTTGACTAATTTTGCAATTATTTAATTTGATGCATGCTTAAAGTCCAGGCTGGCACATTAAAGCGTAAAGTATCCGTTAGGTAACGGCTATTTCTGGCACACAGTTCATGTTGATAATCATTGTAAAAGGCATAAAAATATATATAGTACTTTACAGCTGTAGAATAAAGATATGTAGATGTTGAATTTTATTGCCCCCTTCTCCTCTTATTAAATATTTGTTAAAAATTAATTTTTTTATACAAATAAATATTAATGTAAGTTAAATATTAAAATTACTATTTATAAAAGTATTTGGGTAAATGCCTGAGACTCCAGAGTTCAGAGTAGGGCACCACCCTATGAGTGCCTCTGTCCCCCATAAAATGACTTGGTATTTAATTTTGCTAAAGTTGGGAGTCAGAGTAGGCCTACTAAAATTATCAGGAGTCGGAGTCAAGTGTTTTTTTACTGACACCGCAGCCCTGGGTGTTATCCTGGAGAAGTGACACTGATGTTTGCACCCTTATTTTAACTGTACCTTGTCTTCAATCTGAAACAGATTTCTGACAGTTTACTACCTTCTTTGGTCAAGATTTGATTAAGTACTGTTCAACACCAATGTGCACCTTTGCTTCATTCATCTTGTCCACTACTAGTTAAGTGGGGCAAATTACAAATTGGACAGTCCCTCCTTCTTCCTAATATTATATTTTTAATTACAATGTACTGTATTGTTGAACTATGAACAAATTGTAATTCATACATACCCAAGCCTCATATTCAGATATTAAATTTACTGTTAAAATGTCAAAACAAACTACATTTTACCAACTTATATATTTTCTCATTGTTTACAATAAATGTTATCTTCTTTATAATATAAAATTAAAACTTACTTTCATTATAACTTTACTTATTATATTTGTGGTAGAGAAATCAAAATTAAGTAAATTTTCTGGTTCTTGAGTATGAATATGACAATCTGTCAAAACACCTTCTTCTTCTAATCTAATTACAAAAAAATATTATTATTAATGCTTACTTATTATTTTTCTACAGATCTAAATATTATCTTCTGCTAGTTTAGACAAAGTTTGTTATAATAGAATATTTAGAGATGAAGAGAGTTTGCAGGGTAATACATGGCTTGACAAAATATTTATAGACATTCATCTAAAAAGACAAATCATCCTTTAAATTTCTATGCATTTGGAGCTAGAACTATTTCAAATGACTAAGACAAAACCTTTCTCACTTTGTTTCTAGCCATTTAAACACTGAGTACAAATGGTTAGAAATAAAGTGAGAAAGGTTTTGTCTTAGTCATCCTTTGAATGTAAAAAAACACATTTTCATTCATACAATTACAGACTCAATAGTAAAAACACATTAAAACATCAGGTAGTTATATAAATCATCTAAAACATATATATAAAATGTCTTTAAAATCTGAAGTCTTCAAATATACAATTCCATTTTCAGAAACTAACAAGTAGTTTATACTAATTAGGAATATTTTGTAATTTTGTAATTTTTTTTCTATAATTTTTAATATGTAAATGATAAAATATCCTCCATGATTTGAATTATTGTGAATTTATTTATCATTCTGCAGTTTTACATTTAAAAGGCCATCGTTTAAGATTTTTTAAATGAAAATATCTGAATAGAAAAATTGTTTCCATACAAATAACTTTTCTATAAATAGTATACAGTAAAAACTGGCCTTTGTGAGACCAGACTCTGGCTGGATAAATAATTATATGCAAAATATTCTTTAAAGTAAAAAATTAAATAAAATATGCATGTATTAATATGTATATTAAATATATACATGCATATTTTATTTAATTTTTTACTTTAAAGAATATTTTGCATATAATTATTTATCCAGCTAGAGTCTGGTCTCACAAAGGCCAGTTTTTACTGTATACTATTTATAGAAAAGCTCACTACTCATTGTCATCGAATGGCGCTCGCATGCTTCCCGATAAATTATTTTTTTTGCGAAAAATTCACTGAACTTTAGAGACATCATTAATATAAATATAATTTTTATGAACGGTAAATAATAAATGGTTTTTGGTAGGTCAATCCTGTCGCGACACGAGTCGGCGATGACGTTTTACCAAATTATAGGAGTTTTTTTTAGCATGTTTGTATGAATACTGTTGCAATTTTTTCACCGTGATATAGTAACCCGAACTATAGGAACCCATGTTATAGGATGGTCGACTGTATTTCTTTTTGACAATGACATTTAGCCTTACCTTTACTTTCAGATATATTATACACATGTATGGATAACAATTGTTATGAAATTGAATAGAGATTAGAGCATGTGGCTTAAGATAGGTTGTCTTCACAGTACCACAAAACTGTCAAATTTTTATTTTCTTTGAAGAACAAAGACTGTTTTGGAGATAATATTCTAAAGGTGTGTTCATATTCTGTTTGCAATGCAAACATCCTTTATGCTTTAGTCACTTTTATATTAAAAATCACTATTATAACAACTTTGTCAAATAAAAATCATAAATAAATCATTATTAGCAGTTAATTTTTTATTGAAAAATCATCTTTTGGTTAGTACTTATTGTGACTAAATTTTCATTAAAATCAGTGAGTGCTCTTTGTATATCCCCTTTGTAAAATTAAAAAATCAGTAATTTTCATGTTTTTTTAAAAGCATAATCATGCCAATTTTTCATACAGATTATATTAATAACAGATGAATTATCTTTCTGTTAAATATAACTCATTGCAGTTTCAAGCACTTTCCCTCATCATCAAAAATGTGTGTTTATTGGACTGGATTGTTTGTGAGTGGACTATTAGGTACTAAATCTTAAAGTTTTTGCAAGGACACTTGAAGACTATAGTTTATCTGAACAATACGTGGACTACAAAGGAACATATTCATGATGTTTATACCTGAAACATCACATCTGTTCAGTTAAATGCGACTGCCATTTAACTGAACAGATTATGACTGAAGAACACACAAGTGAATGAATAATAAAGTGGCCTTTTGCCTGTGGAATAACTTTAGGCCAATTTGTAATTAAACACTAAAATATAAATTAATTTTAATAATATTATTAATGAGTAATAAATAACTTTATTTTATAGTTAAGAATAAATGATTCAAAATAAATTATAACTCACGCTAGAATGAGCGAAGATCCATAACCACCGTAACACATCTTCAGAGCTGTTGTGATACCAGGAGTATTACTATTTCCAAATATATTCAAACATTCCTATCATAATTAATTAAAGTTAATTTTAGTTTAGATTTATGTAAATAATTATAAAAAATTCTTATTGATTAATTATAATTTTTATATACAATTGTAACATATATAGGGTATTTATATATAATAAAAATATAATTACTGTTACTTTTTTAATGTAATAACTTGCTTTTACTTACCAACAGGACGTTGAGATTAATTTTAAATGTGACATTTTCTTGTCGAACATTATATTCATGAAACAGAACTGCTTGTATATAAGCATTAGCCTGAACACATTTTGATTCTTCTACTGTAACTTTTAAGCCATTTTTACTAGCACAGAGAGTTGCTGTCTAAATGTAAAAAATTATTATTAATGAATAATTGAAAAGTATATATTTAAACTATTAACTATCATTCATTTGTTAATGATTTTCTAGGGTTTTCATTTTATATTTAGACATCATCTTAACATTAATAGAAATATATAGCCTAACATTTTTTGGTTTCATACACATAGAACTTTAGTTCTTGATTTGACATCAATATATTTATACTGAAATATGAGAAAGTGGACTTACTTCTCCGAAGTGAATTGCTTTTAATAATTGAGAAATATTTCGAGCATTATCTACGCTGCAAACCAAAGCATAATCCGCATTATCTTGAGAGGTGAAATCAGTCTGAGACATTTTAATTTTCTTTTTTCTTCTTAATTAAGTAAAAATGAATTTTCAAGATTTGTTTACATTTTATACACTACTACAAACACCACGTGTCTAAAATGGCGCTTCTTTAGCGACATCTGGCAAAATTTCAAATATTTTTGATTTGGAAAAAAAAAAAAAAAATTCAATTTCTGTTTGAAGCTGTCTGAAGCTATCAGTTTTCATATTACTTCAAAACTATATTAAAAATATATATTTTTGTTTTATTTCACTTTTAAAAAGTTATCGGGTAAAGAAATGAAAATTGTGCGGTTCACAATTGATATCGCAGATTTCTATTCAGAACTTATCACATTGGCAATGTCCATCAATCTGTCATTGCTAATATGAGTAAAATCTTTATTAAGTCCGATCCAACTCGAGACATGACATATGACCCACTTGTAGCTTCCCATCTGCTCGACCTTTAACCACCAAAATTGACGGCCGGATGGCCGAGCGGTCAAGGTGGCAGCCTACCGCTCTGGGCTTCGAATCCGGTCGGGTCGATAAATCTCCAGGAATTTTCCAGGGAGGTCGGATATGTCGTGCTCCGTCCTTCGCTCAGTTGTGTACTTGGTCGGACCCATAATGGGTTTGTTAAAAAAAAAAAAGGCTCTCTTAGTACCCACTGGGCATAAACACAAAAAAACCTGCTATGCGGGCGGCAGGTATATTGTGGAGAACACCAGTAGCAACAATAATAACAAGTGATGTTTCTAGTTTAGTTCGAAGACCAAACCTTACACAAGGAAACCTACTCTTCCATATTCCAAATAGTCTCTCTACTGTGTTTCTAGTTTTAATATGAGCAGCATTATATTTTACTTCTGTATTTGTTGTTGGGTTTAAAAGTGGTGTCATCAAATATGGTTTACAGGGATAGCCACCATCTCCTAGAAGATAGCATGTGACAGGAGGAACTCTATTCTCAAATTTCAGACATAATTCTGAATTATTAAATATTGTAGAATCATGTACTGATCCAGCCCATCTTGCTACTAAGTTTCTTATTAGTAAATTAGCATCACTGACTACCTAAAAATATTAATTGAATGAAAGATGCAATATTTATATTTATTAAAATTTAAATACATACAGAATTTATTCATGTAAACACTGATAAAGAATAATATAAAATTTAACATACCTGGGTATTGATTGAAAAATAACCTTTCCTATTTCTAAATAATTCTGCATTTGTTCCAGGAGATGAAATTGGAATATGAGTACAATCTATAGCACCTATAACACCTGGAAACTTAGCAATATCATAAAATTTTTTAATGACTTTTCTATATTCCAGCATGGTCGATGGAAATGCGATGTACTTTTTTGAAAGGCTCCCCAAAGCTTTAGATACAGTTTTAATTATCCTACATACGCTTGATTTCGATGTTGAAGTCAGATCTCCCACTTCGTGATAAAAGTTTCCAGTGGCATAAAAACGTAAAGTGATCAATAACTGCAATAGAGGCGATATAGGATGGTTTCTTCTTGTATTATATGATGGCAAGAGGTGCTTGATTTCGTCACATACAAGTATAACAGTTCTTTTAGAAAGCCTATACCTTTCGATAAACAGTTGATCGTCAAGCTTTTCAATAGGATTGGATCGATCACAAACTAATCGTCGTGGAATTCGAAAGTAATTTTGTATTATTTCGTTTTCATACACATACTCTGCAAAGTAAGACAAATCTTCCGCCATGTTTGCCGAGATTAGTACACTAATCGCCCGAATTTGGTGGATTAGTTACTAATGCCAGATTACGTCTAATCTTAGAATGGTGGAACGCAAAATCAGTAATCCTGTATTAGTGATAGTTGTTAATCCTGCGATTTGCCTAATCGTCTGTTGGTGAAATAGGGGGTAAATGAAACAGCGTTAAACGCGGTCATTTTAATTAACACAGAGTAAATAGGAAAAGGGAAAGACGCATCAAAAATAAAAAAAAATTTACTATAATTTTAAGTTATTTTTATATTAATTTGCATAATAATATATGTTAAATAACACATAAACATATGCACACAGAAATGTTCAATTTTTGTGACGAAGGTCCTGGCTCTTCTGAAATTCTTGTGTTTTTTTTTGCGATAAAGTCGTGTAGGTTCATTTGCCGCTTTCTTTTTCTTTCCATAAGCAAATGTCGATAGCAAGAGATGGCATTCAAAACGCCTCGTCTCGCTTTTGCACTCCTTTCAAAATCTCGATCATTCGCTACAATTTCATCCAGGATTTCGGCTTTCGTTACCAAACTTACGAAGGGAGTCTGTAGAGAAATTCTTTGGATTCTTTGTTTTCAGAATCTGTATTTTCTAGTTCTGCATGGATTTCTTGTTTTGCCAGTTCTTGAAGGTCGTCGTTGGTAAGGTTCTCACTAGAAACCTGCAGTAACTCCTCGATATCCTGCTCGTCTACATCCTACTATATCGATTGGCTCTTCTCGTTGAGAATTCTTGACTACCTCCAGCCATAACTTCTTCCACACTCCGTTCGTTCATTTATTAATTAATTCTTGCCAAACGAAGTCGATATAACCCAAGGACTTTAAACTATAAGGATAGCCAGATCCCGTTAGCGTGACCTTGGCTCTATGTGACGTCACAGCAAGCCCTCTACTTCAACATGACAGATCTTTCAAATAACAAAATACGATAAAATATTAAATCATTTCTTAATTAATTATTAAATTACTACTAAATGTAAACTACTGTAGAATTTTCGGATTTAATAAGTGTACTGTACGTCAATAAATTTACAAGTCTTTTGTCTAATATTTATTTAACAAATTAATGAGCTATATTTTTTATTATGTGATTATCTTACTTAACTTTTTAATTTTTTTTCGACAATCACCATTTTCAGAAGGCATTCTTTTCAATATTTTATAGTTTTCTTGTTTAAGATTTCTATAATTAATTCTTATTATAGTTCTTAATTTACAAAAATCTTTTATTAAAGTAAAAGGTAAAACTGTTTCCACTGACTAATTCTGTACAACTCCGGGGCCTTTTTTATACGATTCATCGTGATATATTTCGAAATATTTATTCCATTCTATAATTTTTGCTAGCCATTCATCAGTAGGTTTAATAAGCCCTCCATAAGATAAATGTTGCACCCATGACGGAATGCTATAGTTGTAATGATTTTTAATTTTGTTAGTGGAATTAATTAAGTTTGGGTATTTTTCTTTATATTTATAGGCAAAATATCCTGCTATATACTCGAGAGCATCGTAGGAAGTTTCTTCAGAGATTGTGTTAAAGTCTAGATTGCATGTAGAGTTTCCTGAAGATTTATTTGAAGAAAAAGTAGTTTTACATTCAGTATATTGGTCTGTATTTTCACTTGATACTTCTACATGTGCTTTCTCTAAAACTTTGGGTATAATATATTCCTCTTGTCTTCGATCTGTAGTATTTACTTTTGACTCTAAAATACCAGGATTCTTACCTAAAATAATCAATCTAATCCTATATATAGCATTTAATGGGCTTGGATGTTCATTAGGACCCCGGCTTCTAATTTGAAAAAAAAAATTTTTCCAGACAATCTTGATTTAAGTGCAGATGTATTTTATATCAAAAGTCGATTTCATATCTTGAAAAAGATCAATTAGCGATTTCATTGAGATTATCATTCCTTTCTGGAAAATTTGGAGGGCATTTTTTCCACTTGCTCTCATTGTTGAGATTATTTTTATCATTTTATTTAAATGTTCTTCTTGTAATTCCAAGTCTACACCATATCCATTTTTGCTTGGAACAGAACCTTTTGGTGCATAGCTATTAAAAATGTCGAACCACATATTTATATCTCTAATATACGTTTCATTGATAATAATAATTGATTCATAATAAACGTTTCATTGATATTCACATTCAATTCTTTCCATAAACTTATGTTACTGCAACTACAGTCACTGACGCAAGCTACTACATTATACGATAGTAAATAAAGTTCTGCTATTAATTTTAAAAGTATTTCTCTTGTCATTTTTTGATCAAACCCGATGTAAACAGGTTGCTTCCAATTTGAAAAAAGAAGGTTATTATTGCAACCATACACAGCACACCTAGTACTCAGCATTTTGTTCTTCACCTAACATAAAAATATAGCTTTAAATATTTAATGACTTATATTTAAATCATCTTACCTTATAAAAAACTTAGTCAAATAAAACAATTACAGAAATATTAAAATAAATCACTTCGTTAATCACAAAATTGGACGAATATTAAAAGCGAAAACTAAACACGTGCACACCCTGCTCTATGTAAACAGAGAGGTCAGGACTCGTGCTGACGTCACTAACTTGCCATTCCTGGCTAACATTGTAGAATAGGGATCTGGCTATCCTTGTAGTATACAGTCCTTGGATATAACCTATGGCATCCACGATGTTATATTTTTTCCAAAATTGCATCGAACACAGATCAAGAAAAGTACAGCGCTACGACGAATTGCCACCTTTTGCTGGTTGGTTCGTGTTAGGAAATAATCGTATTATATACGAATCAATAAAATGTCGCGATAATTTGAATCGGTGTAAATTTTGAGCTTTTTTAAGTCTTCGAGCAGACCGAGTTATATCGAATCGGCGTTAATCGAGGTAGCGTTAAACGAGGCCTTACTGTACAAATTCAATACAGGTAAATGCTTTCTGGCTGTCGCTTCTATTTGAGTTTGGCTTTTTTATTTAATTCGATCAAAATTAGTCCTTGACCTCTCTTCCGGGAGAGAGGATGCTCGACGACTACTTATTAATACTGGTTTACTGTTAATACTGTATTTGAAAAGTGATCCATGTTGAATAGGTTGTAATGGTTCCGCACGTGATAGAAATTGCTAACCTTAACGTCTGAAAGACTTCGTACGACTTGTTTAAATAAATAAAAATCTTGTAAAAATGCTAGAATAATTGCTTTTATGTGATAATATATATATTTTTTAAATTTTGGCAACAGATTGTATAAACTATGCGGAAGTATATTCTCGCAAATATTGCGTTTATGGAAGAATTATTGGGCTGCAATTTGAAAAAATTGTACATCTATAAATTCCCACTATCGTCACCTGTCTATCGGTCCTTCCTTAATCTCAAGAAAGGAGTTATATAAATGAAAGTCGAAAGCTTAGGGCAGGAGGCTTAGATTATACGAATATCACGTTTAGAACGGAAGTAACGTTACTTTGATTCCCGAACGGAGTTAGATGGATGACCGACACGACTTTATTGCTAACGGGAAAAGTATGATGTACGGGGGCAAAACACTACTACATTCCACGCAGGGAAGTGCTATGTGCTACCTGTGGTAGTAATGGAGTAAGGGCGCATCTATTTCGCGCTATATCATTGTCGTAGTAATTCAGAAAAGTTAATTGATTTATTAAATTGCAATCGATAATTTGAGGTGGGATGTATGACATGATGTAAGTTAGAAGTCTTTATGCGGAACTACCCGAGTTTCATAGCAATTGGTAGAACGACCTAGGAGTGTCTAGCGTACAAACAAACATCTTCATTTATCCCCGTAGATTACAGCATCCGTGCTCTCTAATGAAAATATCTTTAAAAAGTTTTAGCATTTTGTAAATACCCTTACATCTCTGTTGACAAAGTTGCACACAGAATATTAAGATAACTATAGTGTGTGTATATATCCAGTGTACCAGAGCCCCTTTAGCCACCACTCGAAAACATCGAGTGACGTTTCCACTTCCCAGGACGAGGACCTGGGGTTGGATTTCGGGAAGCAGTGTTGGTGTTATGTGACGGTGTCGTTTACGGTAACGGTGCGTGATATGCAAATGATTGGATGCGACGAACAAACTAGATAATGGTCCAATTGTGAATGTTACGGCGAGGGATGTTTGTAAGGATGTGTTGTTATGAAACTGACGAAATCGTCCAAATAACGAAATCTGTGCTGCTTCGCCCTTAATACAACGGAGTCGTGAACAAATGACTTGGATGTCTTTCTATTCTTTCGCCACTCCTCCGCAAACACCAGCGTTACGCCGTCGGTCCTTTTTCTTAGGTCTATCTTGTCCATGCACCTTTTTCCGGGTCTAAAATTCGTTCCGATCGATGGAATAATATCTACTAAGGACAACCTATTGCACTCCAAACTGGGTCATATGGGGCGTGTAATTTGTGGTATATCTGGCGCTAAGTATCCTGTAATAATAAATAACGTAACTATGTTAAGAATCCTTGGATTCGAGTTTCGAGTTTCAAGTCAGACAAAAGAGTGCTCCCGGGCACTCGAAATCTAACTCCCCTACGATGTTCTAAACAATAAATTGCGAAATAAACGGTCTTACAAGGAGATAATTGTCTTCATTGTTTCTGTATTAATAGCATCGAAACAATTATTAAATTTTCAAGGCAATTGTACGAATTATTAATTTTGTTTTTCATTTCTATTTAGTATTTATTTCTATTTAGTATTTGAATAGTTGAATATTAGTTTGTGTTCATACAGTTTGAAATACCTGTAGGTAGCTTATAAAACATTATGTTTCGTGTAGTAAGCCAGATAGAACGTGAAAGGAGAGAAAAGAAAGAACGCCTTTAAGAATCTAAGGACATTTCTCGATATTTCAAGGTCTTCTGAGTCCAAAAATGTCAAAATCTTCTGAGATCATTTTTTACTGATTTCCATACTTTCCCTCCTACTTTTGTTTATATACAGTCGGAAAAATAAAAATAAAAATTCTATGCATGTTGAGTTTTAAGCAAATTCTTCAGGAGTATCACTATGAATACGTATGCTATAGTTTGGTTATCCCCATTTTACATGTTCAGTCCTTATCTTCATGAAAGGAGTGAGTTAGGGATAAATAAAGTTGTGGAGGGATAAAATTCCTCAACTTTTCTATCCCCTCCATAACTTCGTTTTCAATGTCATCACAGTATTCTTTCATCTTCCATCTGCATTGAGTCTGTTTCATGGACTTTCTTTTCCCCTTACAGTTTTATTTCAAGAGCAATTTGATCTTATTCCATTAATAATCTTGACTTTTCAATTCTATTTTGAAAGATTTCTTAATTAATATTTATTTCATTTCCTAAATAAAAGAATGGTTTAACTTTGTTTTAAGTTCTAATCATTTAATTTAATATTAATCCTGTTATTGCTGGTTCTAAAAGTTTCCCTTAACCCCGTCCCTCATCACAAGTCTGCGCTATTGTGGTCTGGTCTAATCCATGATAATTATTATTAAAAAGTTCCCTCGGTGTCCAAAGAACGAAAGAGTCAAAAATGGATAACATAATAGTCAAGACCATAAACATGATTTATTAGGAATTCTTTTCTTTGTATTTTAAATTCAAAATATTATTATATTTAATTGTTATTAAAGGTGATTTACTACATTTTTTGTATTAGCTTTGTTATTCTTAACCTTTGTATAGTAAATTTGCAGCGGTTCTATACTTTTATGGAGCACTGTATATATTTATATACAGTTTTTGAGTTCTGTACTTGAAATTATACGGTTACTCATACCGGTATATATATATATATATATATATAAAATAACTGTATAATTTCAAGTATATAACTTGCCATATTAACTGTGAATGCAGAAGAGAATATGATTACAACGAAAAAAGATACTGACACGTTAATAACAATTTTTGTATGTAATTTCTGTGAAATAATTCAAACAAATTTGCCAAAGAGTTTTCTATAAGTTTATATTTAATTATTATTCAAGACGACCATTAAATAACAATTAGCCTACAGGTGTAAATGGCTTATCTCACAACCTAAATCACATCTGTCAAGGTCACGACGTAATTTATTCCCGATATTTACATTAATATATGAAGTATGAATGATTTCTGATCGTCAGTAACAGCAATGAACATTGTCAGAGCATTTGTGTTATCAATTGTTGCCTTCTATAGGAAGAAAGATGAGAAAATAGAAGTTTCGAAACAACCGGAATGGGAATATGATTACATTATTGGTAAGTTTTATTTAAAAATTTATTTAAAAAAAGTCCTAAATAATCGAAAACATATGTAGAAAAAAGATATAAAATGATTTTACAGTTATTAGCAATAGAAAGAACGTTATAAAGCAACGATTGTCCTCATTATAGTCGAAGGTGTTTGTTTACATTTTGGAGAGAAGGGGGTAGTCACGTCCACTGGTGATTTTGGATTCGATAATTTGACATCAATTAATTTCAATTTATAATAAAACCTTTAAGGCTACAAATATACATAAACAACGCTTGACTAGGAATAATTTGAGAGGAATAATCAGATTTAAATTTTATATATTTATTTGTTTGCCTTTTCGGATTATATTACCATACATAAAATATTTATAAAATAATTAATAATAGGCTCAATAGATAAGTGTTTTATATCGATAAAACCACCAGAAATAATCGAAATGAAGTTTTTATTCGAAATTTTTGTATAATCGCAGTTTTTTTTTTACATTTTTAAAATTAAAATTGGGCTTATTATTATTATTATTTTCTCACATGACTACCGCGAAATTGAATATAAGAGTATTTAACATAACAATGAAGGCTATTTTATTATGTGTATTTTATAGGGCTTATAATGCTTATTGCTTGAATAATGAGTATAGAACCATTCAAACAATATCAGAAAATTTAGATAAGAAAAACAAAATATTATTTTATGAAAATATCAATATTTTAAAGTAAATTTGCTTTAGTTTCTTTAGAAATTTATTGGTTTTCAAACTAATTTTAAGACCATTCAAATACCATTCAATACACGTAAGTATAACAAAAGAACGTAAGTTATATTACAAGATGAGTGTACCTCGTAGTATAATGTATATAAAATTATATATAAATGAAAAAAAAACTTTATTTTTATGAGTCGAAAAAGGAAGACCAAACTTATAACAGCTCATCTAGGTTAATAATACAGTAACGAAAAAAAACTTTCAAATGATCATAAACTTGGTGAAGTCGTTTAAAAAAGTTTATTAATAAATAATAAATTTTGATTTAATCTTTGTTACATCTTTGTTTTTACAGAAATAACAGTAAAAAGTTGTATTTTAATAACTTTTTTATGCAATATTTAAATCGTGTCCTCAATCTTAAAAATTGATGTAATCTAAGAAGTTCTTGACTTTTTTCTTCAAGTGTATTTAATGTAATTATATCAGGTTTTCGGGTTACACAATAGACAAGGTGAGTGTGAATAATTATTTAAGGAAACACGTTAAAGAGTTATAATAACAATACCACTCGATTAAACAAATGAAGTAAATAGTTCCTTTAAAAACTTGGTATCTGAATTAATCTATTAAAATGCAATAAATACACTTATTAAGCCTTCGATTAAAAACATAAGACGTTTACTTATAGTGGGAGGAGGATCTTCAGGATCGGTCGTTGCCAATAGATTATCAGAAAATCCTCACCATAAAGTTTTGTTATTAGAAGCCGGAGGCAATGAAAATATATTTTCTCAAGTACCTGGTTTTAGTCAATCTTTTCTAAGTACTCAATTGGATTGGAATTACGTAACAGAACCTCAGCATTTTGCTTCTTTTGGTTTTCAAGACCGAGTAAGTTTATTGCAATTAATTTATAAGAAATCATAAAATGAATTTAATATATTTTGCTACATCTACTACCAATTAAGAGAGTAAAATGGCCTAGAGGAAAAGTGTTAGGAGGTACAAGCTCTATTAACTTTATGATATACAGTAGAGGAAATCGACGAGACTACGATAACTGGGCTCGAGGAGGAGCGCATGGATGGAGTTGGGAAGAAGTATTCCCTTATTTCCTTAAATCAGAAGATAATACGGACATTAATGTTCTAAAGAATGGTAAGTAATAAAATAACAAGTTATTAACGTATTTAAAAATGATATAATTTAGAAATTTCGCTTATAGTTATTTTTATCAGCCAAAGACTTGGAAGCATTCATGCAAATTGCTAGTTAGCAATTTGCATGAATGCTTCCAAGTCTTTGACTGATAAAAATACATTTATTTATTATACGACGCGTTGAAAATGAAGAGATATAATACGTTACCATTATAAAACACATACAAATGTATAACAATTAATAATTGTCAGTAGAAATTGAAAAAATATAAGTCGAAGTTCGGCTTCACTGCAAACTCCGTGACGAGCGAATGGTGCAGAAAAACTAGTCTTTATTCTTAATGGTGGTGTTAAATCACACGGTCTTTATTGTGACGGTGATAATAAAAGTGGTGTAAGTTATATATTTTTCGTCTTTGGACCATTTTTTTAATCACCAGTACATTTGTAGAAAGTGGATACGAGTGAGTGTTAATGATTGGGGGAATGCAAAGATTTTATACGTAAATTTTGCTTATTTTAGTATAAATAGAAAAAAAATTAGTAAATAAAAAATAATATTTTAGTGTTGATAAAGTATAATAATAAAAATAAATAAGATATATATTTTAAAAAAAGTTTTTATGAATAAATTCTGATGCGCGACCTGATGACCTAGATATATAAAATTGAACTGAAAAATAATTAAATTCTTTTTGAATACAAGTAAAAAGCTTTAAATCTTATTAATCACTGCATATATTTTAACATTTCTCTACTCTAATTTCCAAAAATATTGAGAATAAAAAAAAATTTTACTTAGAAGAGAAAGAAAACTTACTACATCAGTTATAAATTACACAGCAAACTTTTTTTGAAGAGATAAATAAATAATAAATTGTAAATTTTAACATTTTAAAGGATATCATAATTCAGGTGGCTACCAAACAATTTCTTCTCCGAACTATTTTACACCTTTAATAAAAGGATTTATGAAATCTGTTTTATTAAATGGGCACGTTATGAGAGACTTCAATGGACCTATTCAAACAGGTAAAAATAATTTAAAATTTATATTTTATGTTTCGTTTGTTTTACGAATTGTTTATATTTATTTCAGGTTTTGCTTTTCCTCAAGCGACAAAAAGGAATGGAATGAGATGTAGCACTAATAAAGCATTCCTTCAGCCAGTTAAAGATCGCCCGAATTTAACTATATTACTTTTTTCATTTGTCACTAAGGTAAGAAGTAAGGTTTGATGGCATAAATTGTACTGCAGCTACAATTTATGCCATCAAAATGGCTGAACTTTGAATCTGTAATTTAATACTTGAGTACGTAATTTCGGGAGAAGATTATTTGAGACAATCGTGGGAAATATATTGATATCATAACGAGTGTGATAAGTAGAGAAAAATTAGATATTTAGGACATATTTTAAGGCATGTGAACTTACTAGATCTTTAATAGAAGGGACGATAGAAGAAAAAGAGAGACGAGATCAAAAATAGATTGGAGAAGAAATAGTAAAAAATGGGCACATCTGTGTACAAGAATTGAAGAAGAGAGGATCTAAACAAGAACTGGTGGAAGAACATGATAATCTCTTGATGGAAGACAACATTTCTAAATGAAATAATTTATAATTTCAATTAATTTTTATACTTTATAATTAAATATAGTATAAAACGTTGAATATGACTTTTATTTAAGAAAAAAATTGCATGTATATATTATAAAACCGTAGATTTCAAGACTAATTACAACTTTTCAGATTGTTATTGATCAATATAAAGTTGCTAGAGCTGTTCGTTTCGAACGTTTCGGTCAATCTTACATTGTTTATGCCAGAAAGGAAGTCATTTTGTCTGCAGGCGTTGTTAATTCTCCACAACTATTGATGCTGTCAGGAATCGGTCCTAGAGAAGATTTACACAGACTTGGAGTAAATATTTAAACTTTCAACATTATTATAATGATAATAATTATTCTTAATTCTTATTCTTTTCGTGAAGATTCCCGTTGTTTCTGATCTGCCAGTCGGATATAATCTGCAGGATCATGTATTTACATACGGAATGGATTTCTTAGTTAATATTCCCTTTAGTCACGTACTTTATCGTTATTTTAAACCAATAAACATTGCCCGATATTTAAAGTTTAATAAAGGTAAGAAACTGTAATTTGCTGTAAATGATTTTTTTTGGGACATGTTTAAAACTTATGATTTTTTTAAAAGGAATTTTGACTGTACCTGGAGGCCTAGACCTTATAGGATATATTGATACGAAGTATGCAAATAAATTAGATGATCATCCCGATGTCGAGATCAATTTTCTTTCTTCCACGCTAGCATTTGATGGAGGAAAAATTACGCTTCCAATTCTTGGACTTAAAAGAGAGGTGAGTTGTTTTAAACTCTAATTATTAAATAAGTGAAATTCTTTGAAAAAAAAATGTTAACTTAATATTTATAGATATGGGAGCGTTGTTATAAACCATTCTCTTTCAAAGAATCATTTGCTATAATACCCAGTTTGCTTCATCCTAAGAGTCGTGGATATATAAAATTAAGGAGTACAAATCCTCATGATCATCCCATCATCCAGCCTAATTATTTATCTCGTTTTGAAGATATTCTTGTTTTAGTTGATGGTAAGTAATGTTTGTATAACTATGTAAAATATTTTAAAATACAAATTAAATATTTCGTTTGCATGGTTCAGCCTTGAAGGAAGTTCTCAGGCTCGGTAACTCCATTGCTTTAAAGATATATGGCGCTCGAATATTTCCTAGAAGAATACCTGGATGCGAAAAATATGTGCAATTTAGTGATGAAGATTTGCACTGTATAATAAGAACTTTAAGCACGACTGCATATCATCCGGTGGGAACATGTAAAATGGGTGCAATTGAAGATCCAACGACAGTAGTGGATCCAGAGCTAAGGTTTGATATTTCTCTCAACTTCATATTAAATAAAATATTTAAATAATAATTTGACAATATAGAAAATTTAATTTAATATTTTAAAATAATGAAATTTATAATTAAAAATATAAGAATTTCGTTTTCAATATGATTCAATTCTATTTTATAGGGTTAAAGGAGTATCGAGATTGAGGGTTGTTGATGCATCAATTATGCCAACTATTATATCAGGAAATACGAATGCTGCTGCAATCATGATCGCTGAAAAAGCATCTGATATGATACGCAATACTTTGTATTTTTGGTAACAAAGTTAGGAAATAATTTTATTATAATCTTAATATAATACGAAACTGCATCAGGGTTTAATTCCTCCGATGAGAACAGAACAGTTTTTAACCTCTTGAAGAGATTTAAAAAGTACTGTGTTAAGAAGAATCGCATTTGAGATTGATCTAATTTATATTATTGTATCTTAATTCCAGTGACTGTAAGTGGCTTTCACAGAAAAAGTTATGACCTGGAAGACAGGAGGTAGCTAAATCAAAATGACCCCCCATTTACTGTCGTTATCCTCAGATCGGAAAGGTCATTGTAAAATCACCAATAAGTCAATTAATTATTTAAAAAAGAAATATGACCAGTTACCATTCCGGAGACTATAGCTTCATTTGGTGCCAGATGAACAGATATAGGGATAAATTTATCTAACTTAAAAAATTCAGCAACGTACTTAACTTTCCAGGCAATATTTGAAACTGCGTGCGTTATCTGTTATGATATTTTATTATTAAAAACTTTTAATATTCTCAATTATTATAAATTATCAAAAAGCTTAATTTTGAGGATAGGAATAGGTTTTATATAAAATTGTAATTGCTTATAACAGTATAATTGTCATTAAGTCCGACCCTACTCGAGATATGACACACGACCCTTCCCTCTATCTCCCCATTCCCTCGACCTTTAACCACCAAAATTCAATAGCATCAATCCCCTAAAACACAAACCTCCTTGCAAAATTGCAGAAAATGTCGACAAAAAGTACGGATGTTATTAAGCTTCAAAGAGGGTGAACATAATCGTGTCCTCCTCACACACACTAACATCCATACATACAGAAAACCCCATAATTTTCTTTTTTGCATTACTCGACCTTCAGGAAATTTATAAAGCGTTGGTCTAGGAAAGTCATTGAATTTAAAACAAAAATTTGAGTAGGGACTCTGTACAGTATTCCTTCAATTGTTATTTTAAATTAACCTCACTTATTAGGTTGCAATTTGAAAAAATTGTAGATCTATAAATTTTCACTGTTGTCTGTGTGTCTATCTGTCCTTCCTTAATCTCAAGAAGGAGTTAGATAGACGGAAGGAGAAGATCAGATGTTGAAAGCATGGGGTTAGGAGGCCACGATTAAGTACTGTATTACTATTGATAACAGAAAAAGTATTATGTATAGAGGCAAACACTACTACTTTGAGATGGAGAGATGTATTTTAAAAGAAAGAATTTTTATTTTTTAACTAAACTTTTTAATACATCTAACAACTCTTCGCGGAATTCCACGTTTTCCTAATCTTTAAGAGCTCAGCATGGCACTGTTGTCTTTCTTCTCTGGCATTTTGTTTTAGCTCTTTATATTCTTCAAACCACCTCCAACTTCCACTTACGCTTTTGTGGGGCTTAGGAATGTGATGTTAATGGCAAATCTTCTGTTGCTTTCCGAATTTTCTTCTGTGGGATAGATATGTAGGCATGGTGAGATAGAATCTTCCACTATGCCTACATAAACATAATTATATATTTAATATGACATTCAGACATTCAGAATCTCATTCACTATGAAAAAATTTTTTATTGGTTTCTTTTTCGATCAGTTTGGCCTGTATTCGAGTGACTTCACTGTAGCATTAGCTTCATCTATACGCGATGTTTTGCCTCGTAATTTTAAGTTGAACATCTTTGGCGGGTTAGCACCTGACCAACGGCCTGAAAGCGTGGTGTTATCCTAGTTTTCTTCTAAGTAAGGACCAGTTTCCAGTAAGGCATCCCCTTTGGCAGTTGTACTACGTGTTGCTTTGCTTTTCCCATCGATCCAATATTTTACCTATTTTACAATAAAATTGTAAGAAAAAAAGTTTCTTGCAATAGCTAAAATGGCGTGTCCCTTTTCATTTGCGAATTGGTTAAACCGATAAATCCGTCCGTCGTTATGTTTCGATCCGAATTGACAAAATGATTCAGTGTTCGCGCGAAATTCTTGTTAAAAAAATAAAAAGTTATTACGAATCTTAATAAACATAAAAACTCTCGTGTGTATTTCTTTTTGTTTTCAATAAATAAATTATTTATCCATATATATATAAACTACCTGTTACCCGCGACTTCGCCCGCGGAGGTTTTGCAAGCAAACTCCATTTATATTCAGTATTTCAACAACCATAGTAATTGTTATATAACACCTATCGCAGAGAATGATAAGAATTGCTGAGAATCAAACAAAACTATTTTGAATTTGGTCAATTTTCTGGAACGTCTACAATCGTTCCATAATTTAAAAAAATTCGAACATTTGGTTAAAAAATCAAAATATATAAAAATATTTATAACAATGTCTGAAATGTTATTAATTTAATACACTTAAGTACTTAATGAAAACTAAACGTAACAAAAACTCGCATCTAAAATAGTACAGTAGAAGCCGTTCTTCGGGTTAAGACTTCGGGTTAATCCTCTCCCTCTCCCCCCGCGGGGGAATTTCGAAAAATTCCTTCTTAGTGAGCGTTTTCATGACCTACTGTACCCTAACTGTGTACCAAATTTCACATCTTTAGGTTCAGCGTTTTGCTCTGGGCGAGGATGAATTAGTGAGTGAATGATCAGTCAGTCAGGACAAGCAATTTTGTATATATAGATGAATGTATGTCCTTCATGCATTACCACACCGTTTATCCGATTGCCATGAAACTTTGGGAAGTTGTTTAATATACTCCCGTGAAGGTTTCTGGCATAGTACATTTATCCTACGATAGATGGCGCGAGTGTATACGAGCATTTCATCGTGAGTTCGATCGATTTCAAATTGCGAAGACCATTTCCCCCTCCAAAAAATATCTCTATATATGTATTTATGAACTGTTATTTACGATATTTGTAATAATTTTCGTTTAATCACTTTATTTCAACTTTTTTTTTGCTAATTATGTATTCGCTCGAACTATGTTAAAACCTTAACTGTATCTCGAATAACAACCGAAGTTGTAGGAGGAAATTCGTCTATTTTACCGATCTAGGGATCCCCTTTTTTCCAAATTTTAATATCGACTCAAAATAATTTAAAAAGACAAATTACAATAAAACGGTTTATTATAGAACTATCAGAAATTTCACAACATTCCAAGGAAGAGAGGAAGGAGCAATTAAAGAATTAAAATTGTAAAGGATTAAAATATATATATATATAAAAATAGGGAATATCCACTTCTGACAATCGCTGCAACTGTGTTGGCTAGATTTGGAGAATCCGTGCTTCTCACATAGACAAGCACGTGGCCAACTCACGCATAGGAAATTCTTCTGATTTATTCGTGTACGCACCAGACGGAAAAACAAAAAAATATCGTGTATCCATAAGCACTCCAATAAATAAATAGAATTGAAACGACACTTTGAAATGTTTTTTCCGATGAAAATGCATAATAATAATAATAATAAGTTTCAATAAAAATGATAAAATGTAAATTGAATTTTATCATAACGAGTTTGCTTGAATTTCCTTTCTTCTGAGATCGCAGCAATATGCGACGGGTAAGCTAGTAAATTATAAAAATCAGATTTGAATGATCTTCTTTAGCCAGATTTTTTCAAGGCGCATTCTAGACGGATGATTTTCTTCCGTTCTTCATTTCCAGCCACTTAAATAGTCCATTGGACGAAATATTATCATGTCAAATTGTGCATCGAGTGGTTTCTTATGAATCCGGGTTAGCTTGTTTGAATTTTTAGCGACCTCTTTGCATTTCGTTCTGTGAATTCGTAGTTTGGATAAGAATATTTAATAAAGACGACGTTTAAATTATATTATGAAAAGACTGGGATACGAAATAAGAAGAAATAGAAATGCCCGATGTCAGAGACCCATAGAAAAGAGCTAGAAACTAAAACTGCTGGAATTACTTAGCCACTACGCACGGACAGAGCCGCCATTGCCTAATCTTGTTTTTATCGCGGAGTAGCATATTAGACATTAAACGATTACAAATCACCATCACCTGACTTGGCTTGGCTTTGTAGTTTAGAGGCGTCACACGACATACGAGGCCAACGAGAAATACAGGCCTGAGCCCTACTGCTCTAGCCTGTCAGCTGTACAGTACATTTAAAAAAAATTATAAAATTCCTTATGGATATCGGCACAT